CATAGAAAATCAAAGATATTTACGAGATCGAATTTCTTATCAATCTTCCGTTGTTTTTTTTCACGCAAATATATTTGGGTAGTGTTCCAAAACGTTAATCTTTCTTATAACTTCTGAAGAAAAAAGTAAGACCATATTTTTATTTGTTGCACATTATTTTCCCAGAGTAAAATCAAAGAGGATTACAATTATGGAAGCTATACATTTTTTATTTATATGTGTCTCTTTCTTACACCGGCTAAGAAAATTATCTTGATTTTTAAAATAATTACAGCTGTGGAAACTTATTTTATTAAATGTGATAAAACAAATCAAAGAATGTACGGTCATGTATTCTTGCTGTAACAGTGATAAAACATCATTATAGCCTTGTTAGGCTTTCCTTTAATGGGGATAAAACATCTTGTATTATTAATGGAAAGTATAGTATAACCTTTTAATTTTGTCATTTAAACTTTAAAACTTTTACATTGTAGAAATGAACACTTCGTATCATAAGGCTGCGTGATCTAACCCCTGTGTATTTGCCTAACAAGAATTTTCCTACCAAAACCATGCATTTTTTTCTGGTATCAAAAAATGACACAGGGTCATTATTCTACAGGGTCATTTTTTTACAATCCACGTGGAGAAAAATGACCCCAAGGCCATAATTTCTACAAAAAAGTGGGTCATTTTTCTATGTAGAATATTGACCAGGGGGACAAATTTCTACGTAGACAAATGATCCCCGGTCAATATTCTACGGGGGTCACTTTTCGTCGTTACAAAATATAATGTGTAATTTTAAAAAAATGAAATGAAATTTGCAGTTTATAAAAAAAATCTGAAGCTTACTTAAGAATCAGGTTAAAAGAACAAACTTTATTCAATAGAACAATCTCAGAAAAAGGCGCGAAGATAATTGTGACATTTGGCGCGAAATGATTGTATCACCCCTTTCGTAGAAGACAAATGGACTGATCCAGTAGTTAAGAAACGCAGAAAAAACGTTACACGGACATATCCGTATAAAGAATCGCAAAGAAAAAACAGGTGCATGCAAAAAAACTGAAGGAAGTAAACACATCATTATTTTGCATCAGTAAAATGATTCATTCTTCTGCAAACCGTGTTAAAATGCAGGAAACAAATTCCGATGTAAATCAGCTTGCACAAAATCTAGCTCACGAAGTATGGTCGCTTATAGTTTCGGACCATGGAAATACTGCCTGACGCACGTGGCGTCAGGCAATAACATGTAATACAAGTAGAGCTTTTTCAAAAAAGCTTACCGTCTTTAGCAACAATCTTAAACAGTAAACTGACCTAAACCTATCAGGCCGTATAATTCTTGAAAATTACTTGGCTTTGAATTTCTTCCTAAGTTTTTTTCCTGACATAAACCCTACCAAGTGAAAAGTTAACAGATGCTCGACTGTCTCCGTAAACTTCGAATCTGCTTCCGAGAGCATTCGGCAAACCTCGGCTGATTCCATCCTTTGTGATATGTAGTTGAGGTACGAATCGGCCGAGATGTTGCCGAATGCTGCCGAGATTAGAAAGACAGTGAAAAACAAAGGGAAAAAGATACATACAAGCTGTAAAGCTTGCATGCAATAAAGATCAATTCTGTTAACAATGAAAATACAGAATTTTTTTGGTAATTGCTTTAAAAAAAAACTAGCATGTTATTTCGAATTAATTTCTGCCAATTTCCACTGTTCGTTTTGTCATATTTTTTTACGATTAAAAATCTTGAAAAATTGTTAAGTCGTACGAAAATTAGATCATCAGAAAATTATCTCCCTTGCCTTGAACAGCATTTCAACCAATGAAATAATTGAAAATTTTTTCATCATGCAATTTCTACCAATCACAAAAGAGAGGAAGTGCATAGTCCGAAGACTGTAAAATACTTCAACTCTGTATACCGCCTTCCAAGGAAGACGGTAACAAAAAAAACGTTTACAATAGGATTCGGCAAGGCAACAAGTTGTAACAACTTATATTAGTCTTCTTTTTTTTTAAAATCCACTCTTATTTCTAAATTGTACACTTGCCCCTATTGCTTGACAGTATAAAAACTAAGGTGAATTCGCAAATAAAACAATGAACTCATGACAGAAACAAGCACGAGGCAACTCGGTATTACGTTCATATCCTAGAATTCCAAGTTGTTACAATGATTATGCATGTTTTGAATTTTACTTTCTTTGCGTGATGTAAGAATTTGATATGCTATGGACAGTATGATTAAGTTCAGTTTTCATAGGATTCGAGTGTACATTCAGAGATATTTCAGCTGTGATTTCGAGGATTTTTGGGTTTGGAAATTTGTTTTTCGTTTGGTTGTTGTTTTTTTGTTTTTTTTTTTTTTTTGGTTGTCAGATTTTTGGGGGAGTTAAGTTGGATAGTTAAAGTTATTATTTTTTAGCTTGTCAGATTTTTGAAACCGTAGCTTCGGGCCTGTATTGTGAACTTAGTCTGGTGCCACGGAAGTTTTAAAATATTCTTTTGGGCAATTCTAATTATAGTTACGTCTTTAAAGATAATGTTGGAATTAAGGCAGGAGCTCCATGCTGTGATTTCAATCCCATACATCAAAATTTAAACTTTTTTGTATAGAGCAACCCGGTCCTCCGGGCTGTAATAATGAATCAAAAAGCACAGTATGAGTGACGAGTTTTGATTAAGATTTTACATTTCCATTAGGACAAAATGATTAATGAAATGAATTATGCATCTGATAGTTATATGCACCGGTACCGCATATAAATGTATACATTTTTTTTCTGTTACAAGACTTTGTAATTGAAAATTGGAAGTAAAGAGGTTAGATAATAGATCTTGACAAATGACTGTTCAATCCTTCCTATTTACTATATAGCTAAAATTTGCGGTCGTGCACACTTAACGATATTTTTGTTTTTGCTTGTTTGGTTGTGCCCCCCCCCCCCCCCCCCCCAGGGGAAATTTATTCTACAGCATTGAGTCAGAACATGACTTCCATAATGAAAGTACCCATATGTTTTTATGCGTACATTTCGGTGTTTGAAATATGACATTTTGAATAAACTTGCTGGACAAAAAAAGGATCTTCATTGATTATTTTAATGTGAATTAAGACACATTATTCTGTTTATCTAAAAAAAAAAAATCACTATTTATAAAATTAAATTTTCATATTTCCTGATGAAATCAACATAGAAAAATTAAACACAAATACTTAATTAGATATTACTTGAATTTATCGTAATGCAGAAAATCTGCTCCACGGACATCAAGATATAAGGCCAGTGCAGAAACCCAAATGTGAACTTTTTCAAAGACCAGGCCTGGAGGTTATAAAATTTTTTGAGTATATACTCCGTGCTTAAACTCATACTCCATTCTCCGATACCATAAACATACTCAAAATTTATATACAACTTAGAATGGAATTTTGGAGCATGAGTATGGTTTTGGAGTACGGAGTATGAGTTTGAGCACGGAGTACGTACTCAAAACGTTTTATAACCTCCAGGCCAGTACAGGACTTAAAACATATACAGTAAATTATACAATCACTTGGATGAACTCATAAAAAGACTATTGAGGATAAAATATTTTGACTCGACTTCTGAGCTGAAAAAAAACCGATATTAGTCCTCTTTCTTTCCACTCTTTCCTGATGCCGTAGGGCTCTGAATGTAGGATCGGCATTTTTTTGGCATTCCCTTATAATTAGTATGCGGGAGGAGGGGATACCCATACTTTTTCTGAGAATAGTCATTTGCTGTAATTTTGATCTGGATGTTACTTGACCCCTCCCCTTCACCACTTTATGTGGATGTACAGTCAACATAGGCAATGCCAGCAAAAAACCGAAAAGTTAAAGAAAGGCCTAACCCCCCCCCCCCCCCCCCACACACACACTTTTTTGAAGATGTGAATTGATATAGATTTAAATTTCAAAACGTTATTCTGTACATCTACACATCGAAAAACATAACTAAGGCCATCTTTAAAAAATTGTTTGTTTGCCCTCTCCCGACCGACTGGCTAAAAATGGCCCGACTCAAAACTTTTTTTCAACCTGCAAGAAATAATTTAGAATTTGTTTTAAATTCCTTTTTCCCATAATTTTCTCATCTCGTCAACTAGTATGTTGAAATTTTCTTGAGGAAAAAAAAATTTCCACCTACCTACCGACCCAATTTCTTTTATCCTGAGTCGGGAGAGGACAAACAAACATTCTTTTAAAAATGGCCAAATTTCAATATTAATTTTTTTTTTCATATTTCCGTATGAAATCAAAATAGATAATTAGACATAGATACAGAATTAAACATTTCTTTATCTTGTTGTAACGCACACAATATAGTCTGCATTGTAAAAACATGATATAATAGCGAATCATAACGCACCTTGGACTCCTTTGTACAAAGAGGATTTTCAGATTTAAGGCCAGTGCAGAAACCCAAAGACGCCGAAATTTTTCAATATCCAAATTAGACATAAAGCATTTACAATAAACTTTAAACCTTGAGTTGAACCTAATAAATTAAGATATTTGACGAGAAGATGCGATTGAGGTTTTCCTTTGTTCAAGCCACAGTAATTACGTGTACATGAATAAATTAAGAACCTATACGCTAGTTGACAGACTTAAGTCACAAAAAAGGAGATGTTATTCTTTTAGATTAGTAATAATAGGTTTGTATTATTCTATGATATATTAGTACACATATTGTGGAGTTTCATTTTAAATTCTTGTCTGTGTATAATAAGGTTTCTTTAGAAAGAGAACAATCTGAGAAAGGTAATGTAAAACACATTTATTTTCATAACAGTCATAATATTTACAAGTAATTAAAGCATGCGAGATCAACTCTAAACGGCCAATTGGATTTAAAGTCGAACCAATACCGTCTTCCAACGTTAAATTTTAAGATATACTTGATGCCCCCCCCCCCCCAAAAAAAAAAACGAGGAAAAAATGAAAAAAAAAATTAAAATATGATATTTATGGAGACAAACATAATTCATCAAAATGTTTCATACGATAGCACACAGTGCTTACTAAATATTCTGTCTGCCAGAAATGTTTCATTGCAAACATAATTTTGATGTGGAAAAAAATGCAAACCAATTAATAAATCAATCAAATATGAAAAAATAATGAATAAGAAAATTAAAAAGTTTTTCATGTACAAAAAGTTAAAAATGTCCTGAAAGACAAATGACAGGATGATATGGATCGTCACAGATTGATCAAAATTTATAGAACCACAACACACAATAACTGTCCCGTCATGGTAAAGGTGCGTGCTGCTCACACAAAATCCCACTCACTGTAGTGTGGCTCATGGAAGTCTAGCATTTTCCACTTCCGCTCGTGTCTGAATTTCACACGCTCAGACCATTCCAACTGGGAAGAAAAAAAATAACTTATTAACCAGTTTCAAACTAATTCTACACCATCACAGTGGGGTGGGGTGGGTGGGGGTTTACAGGGAGAAAGATGTGCCTATCATCGCCTTATTTACTAATTGCTACAAAGAACTCTGGAATTCAGTCTCCCTTTCATAAAAAAAAAAAAAAAAAAAAAAAAAAAAAAAAAAAAAAAATGCGCTACAAATTTTATGTTCCGCCACTTTTCATCAATTGATAGCCCATTCGAAATGTAATAATGATACAGACATACATTAATAATGTTGATATTCTTTTTATAATATTTTGGGTATGAATATTATTTTCATTCCTTTATTAGCAAAAATCTGTCGTTGCCTGTACTGAATGAAAAAAGGTGAAATAAGGGAGATACTTACCAGATGAGAGGGATATTTCAGTAGATGAGCCTCTCTCCGATCAACATCCATAGTCGCATAATACTGAAAAGAAAGTGTCAAAATAAATTTAAATGTAAGTTCGAATGATACAGAGGATCATTTTAAGATTAGGGATTTCAGAGTAATTTTTACAGTTATTTACAATTCTGAAAGAATTGAACAATGAACACCAGTGGGATCACCCCACGGATTGGAACACATCCCATCCTACCCCACCTAACCCCAAAGACCACAACCCCGAAATTTTCCCTTGCAAAAAATGCTGGGACATAATGTCGAGTACATTTATATCAAAACAATTTGACTGGAGATTTCTTACCCAGTTCTCAAGCTTTTCCTTGATTCTCTCAGAAAAAGACTTGGAAATGAACTGTTGCTAAGAAAGACAAGACAGAAATAGAAAATAGAAAGAACTTTGGTTGAGAGAGAGAGAGAGAGAATTAGAGAGAAGAAATGACTTACCGAATAGTTGATGTTGTCTTTGTTCTGCTCAGAATGGTCAGGGTTGTCGTGAACAGTGCACACCATTTGAGAGTCTGTTGTAGCAGTACTTCCAGCTGCTGGTACCAGTGACATGTACACCTGATTCTGAGAGCCTACCAAGTACATGGAGGAACCGTCTGACACCACATGAAAAGGTTGTTCCTGCGGAGGCACCTCTGCTAGATTGTACGTGTTGCTCAATCCTTGCAACAATCCAAGAATGTCTGTTTTTGAGAGAATGCATGCATCATTGTTTTCACTGATTGCAACATCAACTGATTGAAAGCCTTGTTGCGGCTCCTCTGCAACATTTGAACTGCCCGCAACCTCATTGTTGTCAAAAGAGTTTGCAGCACAGAGTTCAGTCTGAGAAACTTCACAAACAGTTTCTGAATCATATATCTCCTGAGAAATTAATGCGTATTCCTCAGCAACTGATAGTTTGCCTGCAGTTTCACTGTTGTGGCAAGAGGTGTTAGTATCAGACACACATGACTGAGTTCGGGGAACTTTTGAGGAGACAGAGGACGAACGAGAACTATGTTTCCTCCCGCCTTTCTTTCCTCGACTGGTTTTTCGTTTCTTTACCTAAAATATCAGAGAAAATTTTGAATTTTTTAAAGTAATTTTTGGATTCAGTATTTGTAATTTATTTATTTTGTTTTTGTTTTCAACTGCACTTCATTTTTATTAAATTCATTATAAATATTGTACGGGTTCAATTTGTGGGAAGTCTCATTTCACTATTTATTTTTCATTTTCCGCTAAATAACAAAGCTGGGATTTCGACCTTTCATTATTTGTTGTCGAGAGTGTAATTGGAATCAATAGCATATGTCTCTGGCTAAATTGAACTCAAACTTTTCTTTCGAGTTTTGACTCAGATGCATTTCTATTCGTGTAAAGTTTACTTCCTATAATATCTCCGTTTTCTGAGGATAAAAAAAGAAAAGAGTATTGAAACGCATACACCTGCTGAAACCTGTAGTATTATAATGACCCACTATTTTATGAGTAAAGGTTGCAGACGTTTCAAAGTTTGTGAGCCCTCCTGTACCTGTCAGAAATCAAGTAATGACCAAGATGATTAAAAATATCTATGAATTTATTAAGTTAAAAAGCACAAAGTCAAACGCGCTCTTTAATGTAGTTCAGGTCTCAAGGTTTGATGTTTTCTCGGGGTGATGCCTGGCTATTCATAAGAAGGTGTAGAAGTTCTGAGAAGGTGATAATCTCTGTTGATAACTAGAAGGTACACTTGGTACAGAGAAGGTGTAGAAGGTGACCTATCAACTGAAGGTGTACTTAACTATGGTACCTAACCAAGGTACATATAGTGTAGATAATATAAAGGCTATATAATTGCAGTTATAATTCTAGTAGAAGTTGATAAAAGGTGATGGAAGGTGTTGAACTCTCTCTAGTTGCACCTTCTAGGGAAGGTGAGTAGGGATGCTGAATATGATACAGAAGGTGGTGATGGTGTTCCTACTAAACATCAATAGATCATGAATGGAATGTATGTTCAAATCTATGTAACTAATAGAGAAGGTGCAAAATATTCACCTTCGGAGCCGGATGGTCTGGCTGGAAAAGCTGCTGCTGGCTCATTTTGATGACCGAAGTGATGATTTCAGGTCGGGATCGGCCTTATATAGTGTTTATCACGTGACCCTTCATTATTATTCATGAAGGAACATGGCCGTCTGCGAATGAAAACATTGCTGAATTCTCCCTAGAGATGACGACCGATACAGCTTATACAAAGTATTTAACGATGTCTTAACCTTCATATGTGAGTAATTAAATCATGTAGATTCTGTTTATTAAGTCTGTAAATCATGATAAATGGTATTTAAAGCTGAATCATCTCTCCGAGGTGACGATGTGCTGAGCACGTGTTGACATAATTATAGCTGACTGTCAGCTGGGTAATTACGCATAGTAATTCTATATAACAAGTTGCTGACAGACAAAGTTGATAAATAGTTGTCTCTGCACCTCTAACTAATTGTTGAATCATCTTGGGGTTGTATTTCTTGCTGGATACAAGAATTGTTTGATCCTTGTTTACATGCACTCTAGTACAGTACCGCACAAAAGTAAACATCAATACACATGACAACTGTAACTTCTTCATATCTCAGGAATAATTATTAACTACTATTATTCCCATTAATATAATATATATTTCAACAATATCAACAATAAATAAATCAATAAACAACTATTACTGTCACAATGGGTTCATAACATTACCCCCCTCCTTCGAAAAATCATTTGTCCTCAAATGACATAATCAGTCTTCTTCATGGAGTTCAGCTTTCTATTGATGGTTGTTCACATATGGTTTGAGGCGGTCATGATGTACAATCTTGGGCTTTGAGTGTTTGTTTTTTTCTGGATTTTGAAAATGACGTCATTCAATTTTTGTATGATGGTGTAGGGACCCTCCCATTTACATTGTAGTTTGGGACAGAGGCCCTTAGACCTTTTGGGGTTGAAAAGCCATACTAATGCATTAGGTTCTAGTTGTAATACATTTGACTGTTTGTCGTAACGCCGCTTCATGTTCTCTGAAGATAGTTGGAGGTTTTCTCTCGCAAATTGATGAATTTTCTCTATTCGTAGCTGGAGTTGAAACGCATATTCTTCGCTATAGTCTGGAAGATTGCTATCTACTATAGGGGTACCATATAGCAATTCTATAGGTAAGGTGACTTGTCGACCAAACATCATCTCATTGGGGGTAACTTTGGTCGTTTCATGCACTGATGATCTGTAGGCTAACACTAATAAGTATATATGTTCATCCCAGTCTCTTTGATTCTCTGAAACAAAAGCTGACAACATGTGGTTTATGGTTTGATTTCCTCTCTCGACCATTCCATCAGATTGGGGATGCAGGGGAGTCGTTCTAGTTTTCTGAATTCCTAGCAAGGTGCACACTTGCTTGAAAACTGTAGACTCAAAACTCGTACCTTGATCGGTATGGAGCTGTAAAGGTGTTCCAAATATGGACACTATTCTATTGACAAAAGCTTTCGCTATTGTGATAGCCTCTTGATCCTTTATGGGGATGGCTTCTAACCACTTAGTGAAGTAATCACCGATTACTAACAAATATTTATTTCCTTTATTAGTTCTAGGAAATGGACCCAAAATATCCATGCCTACACGTTCAAAAGGTGCTCCAACATTATATTGTTGTAAATGCGCCCTCCATTTCTTTGGAGGTGGCTTCTTGCTTCCACAAAAATGACAATTGCGACACCAGCTCTCTACGTCTTTCTTCAAGCGATGCCAGTAATATCTCTGCTGAACTTTAAGTAAAGTTTTCTTAATTCCTAAATGTCCCCCAGTGATTCCATCATGTAATTGTCTAAGAATTGTCTCTTTCGCTGATTCAGGTATTAAGACTAACCAAGAGGTAAAACCTCTTGTGTTTTCAAACCTGTAATATAAAATATCGTCTTTCAGTTCTAAAGAATCCCATCTCTGCCAGTAGAATTTCAAAGTATTGCCCATTGCAGCAATATCTGCCCATTCAGGTTTATGACCTTTCTCTTTAGCATCTATAATGAATTTCAGTATGGGATCATTTCTCTGTTGTTCCTTCAATGTTGCGGAATCTTCAGTGGCTATTTGTGGTGTTGTAATCCTTTGTTTTGATCTTGTAATTGCATTTACTACTTTTCTAGAAGTTGTCGTTTCTCTCTGTTCTTCTTTTAACTCTTTATTTTCTATTCTGGTACAGTGTGAACATCCTGGTTCAACACAGGGTCTGCGACTAAGAGCATCCGCATTGTTGTGACTTCTACCTGCACGGTGTTGAATTTCAAAATCGTATGTAGCTAGTACCTCAAACCATCTGGCCATTTGTCCCTCAGGACTCTTGAAGTTGAGGAGCCATCTAAGTGCTCCATGATCTGTTCTAATAATAATGTGACGTCCATACATATAGTGATGAAAGTATTTCAGAGAGCTAACTATGGCAAGAAGCTCTCGTCTAGTGACACAATAACTCCTCTCTGGTTTTGTAAAGGTTCTACTGTAGTATGAAATAACTTTTTCTGACCCCTCCTGGACCTGAGATAATACTGCACCCAACCCAGCTAAACTAGCATCAGTGTCCAGGATAAAAGTGCCTTCCTCAATGGGGTAAGACAGAATTGGGGCTGTAATTAAAGCATTCTTCAAAGTTTCAAATGACTGTTGACATTCTTCGTTCCATTGAAATCTTGTTGATTTTTCTGTTAATCTGTGTAAGGGCTTTGCTTTATCTGCATAATGCAATATGAATTTCCTGTAGTAGGATGTCAATCCAAGAAAGCTCCTTACTTCTTTTGTAGACTTTGGTGTTGGACATTCTTTGACTGCTTTGATTTTGTTTGGATCTGTTGAAAGACCATTTTCACTGACTTTGTGACCTAAGAAGAGTACTTCATTCTGACAGAGTTGACATTTATCTGGACTCAACTTTAGGTTGGCTTCTCTTAATCGATCAAACACCAGTTTTAGGTTTTCAATTTGCTCATCAAATGTTTTCGAATGAACAATAATGTCGTCTAAGTAGACAAGGCAAATATCATATGACAAACCATGTAGAATTCTCTCCATAAGCCTCTCAAATGTGGCAGGGGCATTACATAGCCCGAATGCCATTACAGTAAATTGATAAAGTCCTCCCCCCGGATAAGAAAATGCTGTTTTCTGTTTGGCATCCTCTGATAGACCAACTTTCCAGTAACCTGACTTTAAGTCAAGTGTACTGTAGTATTTTGACCCTGACAGTGCGTCTAAGGTGTCGTCAATTCTAGGTAAAGGATGCGAGTCTTTTATGGTGATGTCATTTAACTGGCGAAAATCAACGCAAAATCTAAGAGATCCATCTTTCTTTTTCACAAGTACAATGTTGGATGACCAAGGGCTCATGGATGGCTCTATGATGCCCTCTGACCTCATTTTAGAGATTTCCTCATTAGCTTCTTTCAGTTTTGCCAAAGGTATTCTTCTTGGTCTTTGTTTTATTGGTCTGTAGTTTCCGGTGTTGATTTCATGTTTTACCAAAGTTGTGTGGCCCAAATCTGAAGAGTTCTTTGAAAATAGTTGTTGGTATGAGCAAAGGAGGTCTTTAAGTTTGTGTTGTTCTTCTGGAGCTAAATGAATGCTTGATCTTTCAATCAGGTCTTTAAGGTGCTCAGGAACTTGCTGGGATTTTGTTTCCAAGGGATTTGTCTCCTTCTTTGAAATACTTTGAACTTTGTTAAAAGTGAAGATATCATCAGTTTCTACATTCTCACATGTAGCAGCAATGGTGCCTTTATAAAGCTTACAGGGTTGATCGAATAAGTTTATAACTCGTAATGGTACTATATCTTTGCTGGCATTTATAAGTGACTTGGCTACTAGAAGTCCTTTTCGTTCAATAAATTTTTGTGTGCCCTCAATGAAAGCGGAGTGTCCTGGTAGATAACCATCTGCTGTGGTGCCAGGTACAATCATTTCACTTCTAGGGGGAATTTCAATATCTTCTGAAATCGCAACTTTACAACAAGTTGACAAAACATTGTTTGCAAATCTATGGCAGGGTACTTCTTCACCCTCCAATCCTATGTTCAAAATTTCTTTGGCTAAGTTGACATTACAATTGTGCTTGACCAGGAAATCTAATCCCAAAATTCCATCATTGTCGATGTTTGCGATCAGTACATTGTGATCATAGCAGGTAGAACCAATCGACAGAGTAACTTTGCACTGTCCATGAAATGGAGTACTTTCTCCTGTTGCTGTTACTAGACTGGTGTTGGCTGGTCTAATATCTGGTTTCAAAGAATTATCTAATCTGTTGATAAATTTTTCACTCAACAAGGTGACATTTGCACCTGTGTCAACAAGCATGGCGATATCTTCATTTTGCACCTTCACTTTAACAAATAATCCCTCATTCTTTGACCAAGATTCATTTATGATGATGGTGTTGGGCCATTTTACATCTGGGGTCGACCTCTGGCCCTCGAGTCCGACGCTCTTCCGTTTCCCTGATTACTGCTGTTCTGTGCTGAAGTTCCATTCTGATTGTTGTTTCTTGGGGGTGTTCGATTTGCATTGTTTTGTTGTCTCTGGTAGTTTTCTGGCTCTCTTCTATGCTGATTCATAGGCTGATAAGATTGATTGTTGTAATATCCTCCCCCAGCTCTATTTTGAAAATTAGAATCTCTTGTCCTATTTTGTTGATAGTATCTGTGTGGAAGAGTTGGCTTCAAACTGTTTACAACCTGTTTAAGATCTTGACATACTGATTTCAGTTCACTCCTCACACTGGAGAATTCATCCTTTATTGTTTTGCATATATCATCTGGTGACTGTTTTGTAATTCTGGAGGAATCAGTACTGCTACGAAAATCTGTTTCTTTCTGTAGAGTTCTGACGAGGCGCCCTCTCTGTTTGTCTGCTAATCTGAAAGTTTCCAAGCGGATTGCTTGTGACTCTGCTTCACCGATGTTTTTAGGATGAGCTTCTCTTATTCTTAGTCTCATATCTATGTCAGGCAAAGCGTCTACAAAATGATCAATTGCCAATATATCTGTGATATCAGCTGGAGCGTTGGGGTATGCTTGCCTGGTCAATTTTCTTATAGCTTGTGCTAGCTCTGGTATGGATTCCTCCTTTCCTCTGACACGAGTTTGAAGTCTGGCACGGAAAATCTCAGCTCTTTGCTCTGAGCCATATCTAGTATTTAGAGAGCGTACTATGCTTTTGTAATCTCGTCGTTCTATTTGACTGAGTTCACTTAAAATGGAACGTGCAGGGCCTTTTAAGCATCCTGCTAAGTGAAGAGATTTGCTTGTGTAGTCCCACCCATTTATTTCAGAAATTATTTCAAATTGGGTAAGGTACTCTTCAAGATCTTCACTACCATCATAAAGTTGTGGTTTTGTATGAGTTGTTGCCCTTTGATTGTGAATTGAAGAATGAGAGGGATGAAATATGTCCCTATTTTCCCTGTTTGTTTCAGGTGATGGTAGTGTAGGAGTTGTCTCCCTTTGATTGCAAACTCTTGGTTGAATATAATATGAACCCCCAATTTGCCCAAATGTGTCAGGTGATTGTGTCAGAGTTCTCCCCCTTGTATTGTGTGGAGATGAGTCATGGGGATGTGATGTTTGATTAGAACTCTGTACATTTGGTACAATTGTTTCAATTTGTGGTGACTTGGTCATTATGGTGTTGGTTTGGCAGCTATGATTTGTAGAAGTCAGTGTTTTGTTTGTTTGCCTAACTTCATATGATTTGGTGTTATGATTGCTCAGGTGTTGATTCTCAATTTGTGCAAGTCTATTTTTCAAGTATGACAGTTGATTTTCTAAGTCTGAACGCAGATCTGCAACATCTCTACCTAACCTATGCTGCATATCATAACAGATCTCTGTAGTTTCTGAACAAGCATTTCTAATTTCAAGTTTTAAGCTCTGCTTTAAAGATAGTAACTCTTGGAGGATGGTGGAGTTACCTCCCCTCTGAGCAGGACCATCACCTTCTGCATCATATGCACCTTGGATGTTTTGAGATACATTTGGGGATGTGTATAATTCTTTATCAAAATACAATGGATGCTGAGATGAATGATGTCTAGGATTAAATATCACCTCTTCACTAGAATCTATTGTAGGTGCTGAGACAGTACCTTCTAGAGTTGATGTACCTTCTATGCTTGATGTAGACATCTTGTCAAACTACTTAATTTCACAAGTACAGAATAACTGAGGGCCCCACGTTGGGCGCCAATTGAAACGCATACACCTGCTGAAACCTGTAGTATTATAATGACCCACTATTTTATGAGTAAAGGTTGCAGACGTTTCAAAGTTTGTGAGCCCTCCTGTACCTGTCAGAAATCAAGTAATGACCAAGATGATTAAAAATATCTATGAATTTATTAAGTTAAAAAGCACAAAGTCAAACGCGCTCTTTAATGTAGTTCAGGTCTCAAGGTTTGATGTTTTCTCGGGGTGATGCCTGGCTATTCATAAGAAGGTGTAGAAGTTCTGAGAAGGTGATAATCTCTGTTGATAACTAGAAGGTACACTTGGTACAGAGAAGGTGTAGAAGGTGACCTATCAACTGAAGGTGTACTTAACTATGGTACCTAACCAAGGTACATATAGTGTAGATAATATAAAGGCTATATAATTGCAGTTATAATTCTAGTAGAAGTTGATAAAAGGTGATGGAAGGTGTTGAACTCTCTCTAGTTGCACCTTCTAGGGAAGGTGAGTAGGGATGCTGAATATGATACAGAAGGTGGTGATGGTGTTCCTACTAAACATCAATAGATCATGAATGGAATGTATGTTCAAATCTATGTAACTAATAGAGAAGGTGCAAAATATTCACCTTCGGAGCCGGATGGTCTGGCTGGAAAAGCTGCTGCTGGCTCATTTTGATGACCGAAGTGATGATTTCAGGTCGGGATCGGCCTTATATAGTGTTTATCACGTGACCCTTCATTATTATTCATGAAGGAACATGGCCGTCTGCGAATGAAAACATTGCTGAATTCTCCCTAGAGATGACGACCGATACAGCTTATACAAAGTATTTAACGATGTCTTAACCTTCATATGTGAGTAATTAAATCATGTAGATTCTGTTTATTAAGTCTGTAAATCATGATAAATGGTATTTAAAGCTGAATCATCTCTCCGAGGTGACGATGTGCTGAGCACGTGTTGACATAATTATAGCTGACTGTCAGCTGGGTAATTACGCATAGTAATTCTATATAACAAGTTGCTGACAGACAAAGTTGATAAATAGTTGTCTCTGCACCTCTAACTAATTGTTGAATCATCTTGGGGTTGTATTTCTTGCTGGATACAAGAATTGTTTGATCCTTGTTTACATGCACTCTAGTACAGTACCGCACAAAAGTAAACATCAATACACATGACAACTGTAACTTCTTCATATCTCAGGAATAATTATTAACTACTATTATTCCCATTAATATAATATATATTTCAACAATATCAACAATAAATAAATCAATAAACAACTATTACTGTCACAATGGGTTCATAACAGTATTCATAAAGATAATTTATACCATTATGTTCCCTTCAGTACAGGAATCCTCAGATGAAAGTCGTCGTTTCATTGTCAATTTTCAGTTTTTTCGCTCTGAAATTTTTGCACGTCCGTTCGCTATGACTGATGCCGTTACTATGAGCTGTAGTCACAACGCAACGCCTCACCTCGCATCACCAATAGCAACGTCATAGCAAAAATTTTCGTAAAATTAATCTCCAAGTAATATTTCTTTTTTTTTTTTAAGTAAGAATGAACATTGAAATCAATTTATAAAATTTAAAGAAAGGTACAAATTACATCGGTGCCTTCAAAATCTTCTAGTTTCATAATAAAATTTTTATTCATTTCTTGTATATCTCTTCACAAATATTCATCTAAAATACTAATTAGTTTACTTACCTGACCGCATTCACTAGAAACGCTTTAAGATCATAATAGAAGCAAATGTCATATATTCCAAACGTTCCATATTTATAAGGTAAATAATATAACGATTTATTACGTCACAGAAGAAAAGTTGACGCGCGCCAATATCTGCGCGATCTTGTTTAAATTAAGAAATGAATGATGTAATATTTTTTTTCTTTGACCGACGTATCAAAGAAAAAATTTGGACGGAAAACGTTTTCTGTCCAAATTTTTTTCTTTGATACGTCGGTCAAAGAAAAAATGTTACTTTCATTTCTTATCATTTAATTATGATTTTGAAATAGTAAAATGAAACTTTCCTTCAGTTATAGACTGTTTCACGATAACTGTGGTACTGCTCTTTTGCAGGGCAAAATGATATATTTTGGTGAAATATGACGTAAAAGTAACTGTTAAATATACGTCATTTAATTATCTGTCAACAAAAATATCACCAAACGTTATTAATTTGCCCTGCAAAAGAGTAGTGCCGCAGTTATCGTGAAAGGGCTAATTAAATTTACGCATCAAAAACAATGCGTAGGAATATATCACAACAATGTTGCTGAAATTCAAAATGGCTACAGGCCTAACGAAGAAACAACGTTCTCAAATATTGTCGTGTCACAAAACTTACCTGTTGTGTTATTAATTTTTTGCTATATCCCAATGGGTATATTTTCCCCGGTAAGCTATCTAGGTTCGTAAATTTAAAGGGATGTTACTCAGATATCCTAACAACTCTTTCTATAGCTAGGTCACAGAAATTTTGGATTTCATTTGTGCATCTCTTCATCTGAATTTCAAACATATAAATATGTATCACAACCTGTCCATGCTGTAAAATCTGAAAGAGTCTGTAGCCTACTGTTTAACATTGGAAGAATATTCCGTCCTCATTCATGCAATGTCGTTTTTCTCGATCATTCGATTCCTAAGAATTAACAGATTAACGACATTTCCCCGCTTTGGTAGCATAAAAAACATTTCTTCACAGTTCTATTGTTCATACCAGTTATCTAAAAGTCAAACATTTAATATAGGTATGCTGATTTCTTTCCTTCTTTCCCATTACTGTATTGTTGTCATGCAGACGATCTGATTTGTTTAGCAAAGGGGGATAATTCAAAAAGAAACGAAAGTAGAAAATAAGTCAGGAACGTAACGGACAAGTTTCGAAATTCAGGAAAATATCCATTAGAGAAAAAGTATTTAATTGTTCCTTCATGAACTTCTTGAAGCGGGAAATATACATGTAAAGACAACCAAAGTAGTTCCGGTTGCAAAGTGCAAGCAAACTCCAAATTCTATTGATGCAGTTATCAAAAGAATTTTTTATCCAATCAGAATCAATTATTTTATAGAAATTAAATGATTGCAACATTCCAGAAAGTACAAAAAGATAAGTGAGCTAGCGCTCTAGCCATTATAATACACAGAAGTAGATTTCTGAACCCTTGATTTATTCTGCTGAATCGGTTAACTATTAATAGGAAGACGCAGTGGAGCACTGGGGTGGTGTATAGGAGGGGGGGGGGGTCTCAATTAAGAATGATGAAACCCGAGTGAGCTTCACGTCGCCAATGGTATCAATGTGCTTTAAGTATTCCGTAGTTCACTGTAATTTAAATTTTGAGGAGAAAAAATTATTTGAAGATATTGGTAGAACCAATAAGCATCTAGCTTGAAATATTCAGTGTGACCTTTTTTGTAGCAAGTACATCTAATGGGGTCTTTCCAGCAACTCGGAAAATCAATTCCGAGCTTGCCGGAAACCAGACACTCGGCTATCTCCGTAAATCTTTGACGAGCAGCTCCTCGATGATTTACGGAAACGGTTGTTTGAAACGTCAGTTGAACGAGACTAGGAAGAAACCGCTCCTCAGCCAGGAAGGATAACTCTTAGAATTATTGTTTAATTGATTCTCAAAATAGAGCTTGACATTGAATTAAATCTTTTCCTGCAACTATTCTCATTTATTTCATGCATCTCAATATGATTCAAGGTTCTTTGAAGTCTTAGAAACTGTATTGTAAAAAAAAATTGACATTTGCACCTTAAGGTACAAAAAATAAATACATTTTTAGAGAAATAAAATTTCCTGTAATCAAGCCTTAGATACCAAATGAATGCTTATTAGCATAATATGAAATTAGAAAGTTAATATCTGCGATGGCTTCCAGTGATAGCACAAGCTTTATACACTGTGTGTTGTTATATAACAAGCGAAGTAAATAAAAGTATTAAAATACAGTGTAAGTGTAAAAACCATGCAATTTTTCCCGAATGCCTGGATATCTACAGGGTGATTTTTTTATCTGAAATATATTTGTTTTTTAATTTGCAATAGGAAAATGCATAGCTGGTGTTTTCATTCGTGGTTCCTGAAATTATATTTGAGATTTTCCCTATATAATATGATTAACTATTATAATAATGATAAACTTTGAAGAAATCAAATGTACCATGTGTAAAAAAAACATTACTTGACGTTTTTGTGAGCATTTTCAAATACTTACCTGCTGATTTTCAGAACCTGAGGATCGGACTACCTTAATTTTATATATATATATATATATATATATATATATATATATATATATATATATATATATATATATATATATATATATATATATATATATATATATATATATATATTAGACATAACTGATCTCTACTCTTGACATACATTTGTAATAAGGCCTTAGTTACTTTTACTTTTTTGAACATTTCTGTACAGGTAAGACGACAAAACATGAAACTCAAAATATATATGGTTTTTATTTACTTTTAATCTTGAAATGCTTTTTTTTTCTACATCAGACCAAAAACAGATCGGGAACTTCTTAATTGATACGATTAGTTATGATTATTTTTACCATCTGTCTCTTACAAAATTCGGCTATATAAGACTTGGAAGCGACCAAGAACAATGGCGATATTTCCTTCTCACAATCATTGGTTCATACAATCATCGAATATTGATGATTTTTAAGTCAGTATGATGATTAAGCAACCTTTAAAAGCAACATTTATCTCGCCCTTCGGAATCGGTGAATATTGTATTCCTCGGGAATCTAAATCTAAGTCAATTACCTCAAAAACGGTATATATTAATTGCATAATTGTTAGTACAGGTACTCAAGTATTTAATTGCTCAGTGACATCTGTGGACCTATCGAGTTTGTCGTTTTGTGTTTATCCAGAAAGTGACACGATTTTTCTCACGCTGTCAAAAAAATGTATTTTTACTCACGATTCACTAGGCTTCCCAACTTTATCACTCTCCAACAACCATTACTCAACAGGTATGTATGAAAAATTATTCCGACTATAGAAAAAAAATATCACTCAGTCAACATTGTAGTACATGTACTTCGGCACAATACTAATGTTTAAAAAAAACTTTACCAAATAATGGTGATAATAAATAATATCCAATCTTTTTTGTTGACAATTTCTAATTAAAAATTTCAAATCGTAGTTATCCAGCTAAAGTACTTAAATATAATAACAAAGTTTCATTCTGAATTTTCTGTTGTGATACGTGAAATGAATGTGTAACATTTCTTATTTTATTACTGAACTCTTCAGTGATTTTCCTAACGGTAATCCACGTTTTCTCGGTATACCTTTCCAGAACAATTACCATAGTGAAAAGATAAACTCTTGCCCTCGGGGAGCGATCAGTTTTGTGCGACCATCTTTTTTTTAAGTCGGGTATGAATGGAATTTTAAGAGGTCCTTTGTTCCGTGTAAGGTATGTTCATAAACTTTGAATTTTTACGTATTTCATAACATCATTTAGTCTAGCTGCAGAACTGTAGCGTTATGGTTTATATTTTAGTCTTTGACCATAATGCTACAGATCCCATAATGTAAATAAAGTGCAATTTAAGGCGCAAGATTTTCTACGCAATTTGGGGATGTATTTTGCCACTTTCCAGCATTGGTCAATCAACGGGAGGTCAACATTACCGCGACATTGCGAAAAATTTCAACTCATTACCGCTACATTTTCTCAAATTTTCGGGCGATCATTACCGCTACATTTTATCAAAAGCACTAATGCCGAAAACAATTCATTATCGCTACATATCGAATCAGCCAGCAAAGTTCCATTCAATATAATTCACTCACCATGTAGTGAAGTACAATTTGGATCTTAATTCTAATCAAATCATTTCTTGATTTTAAACTTTTTAAATAAAAATGTTTTATGAAATAAGGTAGTTTTTAAATAAAAAATGAAAAAAAAACCATCATGCCAAGTCCTACTTTCATCTCCCTGTGGTGAGCAGGGGAAACAGATCTTATGCATGTATATGTTGTACTGTACACGCATAAGACGCTGACTAACGAAAGAGGCAATGTAGCGGTAATGTATACTTTTAAATGTAGCGGTAATGTAACCTTTTTTGTAGAGGTAATATGCATGTAGCGGTAATGAAAATTTTGAAAATGTAGTGGTAATGATACGCACCCCAATCAACGACCTTTCATCCCCCTAATTCTAGACATATTCTATAATCAACCTGTACATTTTATCCACCTCCTTACCCTTCATATAGTCTTCTCTACAGACCAATAAACTCGTTATGCCATCCGACAACAAATTCACAACAAGCGAGTTTATTTGTCTGTAGAGAAATACATCCCCAAAGTGGCAGAAAATCTTGCGCCGTAAATTGCACTTTATTTACACGACGGGATCTGTAGCGTTATGGTCAAAAACTAAAATATAAAACCATAACGCTACAGTTCTGCAGCTACATTAAGTCGACTATATGACGCTCACTGCATATGCTTTATTTTTTTCGATATTGGTTATGAAAAGACTGGAGAAATTAAAGGGTCCCGACTGTATTTGACGTGTACATGCCGTATACAATAAAACAGAAGAGAGAAAAGGCTATAATTAAAATAAATTTAATTATCTTCTTTTAATTTTAGCAAATGTTTTACGTCTCATGAACAACTTTCGGTTAACTTTATTGGAGCGTACTTTGGATATGTCCTTTAAAATGTCGGTGAATGCCAGAGTAGGTGTTTAATTGGTGATATTGCTCTATAATTAAGACATAAATAAAATAAATATATCACAACTTTCATCTTATGCATGACGTATAATGTTTCACGTTTACTTAAAAAAGTTAAAGAGCTACTTTTGAATACTTTGAAGAAAAGAATAAAGATTATCAGAAATGGGTACCTTATAAAGATCGTACATTGTTTAATTACTTTAATTATCCTTCTTCACACGGGAATACTGTGGTCGGAAATTCTTTTTTTCTGATTGACAATGATACATATCTGCTTAGAATTGCGTAAAAACCAGATTTCGACATATCATTATTATAATTTAATTATTATTAATGTACAGGATTCATGTATATATAAACATTTAACAGTCAATGTAGACTACTGCGTAGTGCTTTTAATCAAAAGCATGTTTTGTAACATAGCAGTACTTCGACGGAATGTTACAAAAGAAGCTTAACAGTTAATGTGATTTCGATGTTTTCTAACTCGTGTTTTGCAGGTAAATAAAAAATGCCGAAGAAAATATTTTTAAACCATTTAATTGAAATTGTTGATTGATTAAAATAAAAAACAAAGAAAACACAAAAAGAGAGCTTAGTAATAATCAATAATGTGGAGAAAATTGTCCGTTAAAATTAGGATTGATTAATGTTTGAAACAGTTTTTGTCATCTTGTCAAATGCTTATTGATTAGCAATTGGCGATACTTTTGAATTGCAATTGAGAGACATCAGGTCGTCGTAAAAGATTTAAAATAAAGAATCAAAGATTGACTACTGTACAACTTTTTTGTGGACTCACTTTTTAGTGGGATGCCATTTGGTTTGTAGTTATTCTTTACGGTGGGAATAGCGGGTTGATAGCATAATGTTTGGTTTTAAAATCGAAAAAGAAAAGTGAATAACGAAAATCTGACTGACAGTTATTTTAAAAAAAAAAACATACAGTACATGTTTTTTTTTTTATTTCAGATGTGAATATGAACACGACATTTCCTAGAGTGAACACAAGTGTTGCAGCTTTGACAACGTTGCTGTCGGCAAACAGCACACCAAATGTGACAGATGCCACAGTATATAACCAACTGGTGAATGGATCTATCACAACAAATAACCCTGTAGAGAATGGATCAGCCACCGCCAAATACGACCAACTAGTAAATGGAACCGGTGCTACCGTCGTAATGCTTGTGATTCTAATGGTAATAGGAGTAATAGGAAATATCCATGTTTTGGCTGTTTTTGGTCTTAATTTCCAGAAGAGTTCCACGTATGTGACGTTTGTGTTTTCTTTGGCAGTAATAAACTTCCTGATGTGCAGTATAGAAATTCCTTTTGAAATTTTGGATCTTCTTTATCCGTACGGTCTTTTTAGTGGATCGTTTTGTAAAGTATTCAGATCGTCAAATGCTGGTCTGTCGATGAGTTCCGTCTTTCTTCTTCTTCTTATTGCAGTTGACAGATATAAACGAGTTTGTCACCCTTTGAAAATTCAATGGTCCATTAAAAAGTCAAGAATACTTATTGTGACCGTTATAAGTGTCGCGACTTTTCTAGCTATCCCGGTTATTTTCGTTTTTGGACCTCACACGACAGAGATTGCCGCTGGAGTACACGTACAGAAATGTTTCTTTGACGACAATGTGAAGGGAAGTTTGTACCCTCTGATGTATTTGGTTGTTTTACAACTAGTGGCAGTGGTGTCGGAGTTGGTTTTAGTGTTTTCTTACCTTTCAATAGGATTAGCAATCAGGAAGCACGCCAGAAAGCGGGCTAAAATGACGCAGTTTCAAATAAAACGATCAAAAATCAAAAAAGTTTGTTCTGAGAATTTGAATAGCCTTAGCAATCATTCATCCCTTAGTGATATGGACAGCGTAAAAACTTTGTCCATAAGTATCATTGATATAAAAGAAAAGATGGAAATGTCTGGTGATGATCCTAAAGAACATGACAATGAAATCTCAAAATATGATAAACAAAAGAGTAAAACAACGCAGACACCCGAAGCAGACAACGACTTTAGCGACGTACATGATGATGAGGATAATAATCGCAATTCTTGCTCAACGACCCAGTCCGAGGTCAAAAATAACATTAAAAAGAAAAGAGCCAGTATTAATAGCCAGGCGAAAAAACACACGAAAGTTTTTTTCGTGGTCACTTTGGTGTTTATAATCATGTACACGCCATATCTAATTCTTGGAGTGTTTTTGGCATTGAAAGATAAATTCCGTGAGAACATGAATGACGTAGAACTAACGTTTTATCGTTTAGCAATGAGACTTGTATATGTCAATGATGTTATTAATTGTTTTATTTACGGTGTTTTCGACCATCGATTCAAAACTTGTGTTTTTAGATTTTACAAACGACTGTTTTCACTTTTTAAAAGAAACTAACTTTGCAGTGATCAATGCAAGAAATAATAAGCCTGAGCGATTACTATACACTCAGGTGTCCATCTCGCCTGAGCATCTTGAACTTGGAACATACTTAACAGCGGTTCACTTGCTCATAACTTATGTTCATTAAGTTTGTTCTTTTTCATTTACCAAACTTTGTGTTTAATTTTTTTTATTGTCTTGATTACAGGACCATTTCAACCTGGCTTCAGATAATTAAAGTGGTATTTATGTACTGAAAAGAATTTAATTTACTACTTTTTTAAATACATGTAGATTTAAACCAAGTCTAATTTTGCCCTTAATCATTTGACAAAAGGTTTCTTTCGAAGTCTGCAGTGGATGTTGCTTTTTTACATTATGACTGATTTGAAAGAAAACTGTTTTGAAATGTTACGAAATAAAATGTATTTGTCCATAACTTTCGTTTTTATTGAATTTACCGGTAACGGCTTTAAAACTCTTTAAATAAACAAATTTTTAAAGTAAAGAATTGGATCAAAATTCAATTATTTTTGCTGCTGACTATACACACCTTTGCTAATAGTTCTAAAAAGGACCAACTTTAAAGAGGGTGAATGAAATGTATCTACATGAGACGATCTACAATATTACCCTTAATAAATCAATATGTTCTAAATTCTAAACAAAATTCGATTTAATACCATTAGAGATATATAAAACTGACATAAATGTGGGTTTCAGATACAAGCATAATGCTCTACATTGTTTGGATGCTCTAGTGAACCTTTGAAACTCTTACTCGATCTTTCAGGATGTTTTCTTTAATTTTTCAAATATTTCTAAAATTGAATAAAGACTTTTCGCGGAATACCCATAAAAAAGTTTTGTACAAAAAATTCTCAGCGTTTCAAGATTAATAATAAATGAATAAAAACCACATATATTATTAAATTTAAATAAAAAAGTATTGTACAAAAAAATTTCAGCGTTTCAAGATGAAAATTAAATAAATAAAAACCACACAATTCTATATTATTAAATAAAAAACAAAAAAAAGGCAAGGAAGAATTTGTCTCTAAAGCAGTATATTGAATAAGCGATACTAAAGACTTTTTTAAATCTTCGAACATACACTTTTTACACACAAGAAAAGAATGATTATGTGTTATGAAAAGATATAAAAATTGCTAGCACAAGCTTTTTTAAAAAGTGATTTAATTCTAAACTTCTCTTAATATTTTGAAAATTCACACAAGATCGCGCAGACATTGGCGCGTGTCAACTTTTTTTCTGTGACGTAATAAATCTTAATATTAATTACGTTATAAATCCGGTACATTTGGAATATGTGACATTTGCTCCTATTATGGTTTTAAAGCATTTTTAGTTATTGTGATCAGGTAAGTGAACTAAGTAGTATTTTAAGTAAATATTTGTAAAGAGATATACAAAAAGTAATATTATTACGAAACTAGAACATTCTGTGAAGAAAAACCCAGTGTAACTTGTACCTTTCTTAAATTTTATAAATTGATTTCAGAGTTCATTCTTACTTTAAAAAAAAGAAATATTACTTTAAGATAAATTTTACGAAAATTTTTGCTATAACGTTGCTATGGGTGATGCGAGGTGATGCGTTGCGTTGTGACTACAGCTCATAGTAACGGCATCAGTCGTAGCGAACGGACGTGCAAAAATTTCAGAGCGAAAAAACTGAAAATTGACAATGAAACGACGACTTTCATCTGAGGATTCCTGTACTGAAGGGAACATAATGGTATAAATTACCTTTATGAATATTCTCTTATTTTTTTAACCTCAGAAAACGGAGATATTATAAGCAGCAAAATTTACAGGAATGCAAATGCATCTGAGTCAAAACTCGAAAGGAAAGTTTTGGTTCAATTTAGCCAGAAACACATCCTAACGATTCCATTTATATTCTCTACAACAAATAATGAAAGGTCGAAATTTCAGCTTTGTTATTTAGCGGAAAATAAAACATCAATACTGAAATGAGACTTCCTGCAAATTGAACCAATACAATATTCATAATGAATTTAATACAAATAAGTGCTGTTGAAAAGAAAAACAAATAAAAATAAAGAAATAAATAAATTACAAACATTGAGTCCAAGTGCAATTACTAAGAAATTCAAAATATTCTCTGATATTTTAGGCAAAGAAACGAAAAACCAGACGAGGAAAGAAAGGCGGGAGGAAACATAGTTCTCATTCGTCTTCTGTCTCCTCAAAAGTTCCCCGAACTCAGTCGTGTGTTTCTGATACAAACACCTCTTGCCACAACAGTGAAACTGCAGGCAAACTATCAGTTGCTGAGGAATACGCATTAATTTCTCAGGAGATATATGATTCAGAAACTGTTTGTGTAGTTTCTCAGACTGAGCTCTGTGCTGCAAACTCTCTTGACAACAATGAGGTTGCAGGCGATGCAAATGTTGCAGCGGAGCTGCAACAAGACTTTCAATCAGTTGATGGTACAATCAGTGAAAACAACAACGATGCATGCATTCTCTCACAAACAGACATTCTTGGATTGTTGCAAGGATTGATCAACACGTACAACCTAGCAGAGGTGCCTCCACAGGAGCAACCTTTTCATGTGGTGTCAGACGGTTCCTCCATGTACTTGGTAGGCCCTCAAAATCAGGTGTACATGTCACTGGTACCAGCAGCTGGAAGTACTGCTACAACAGACTCTCAAATGGTGTGCACTGTTCACGACAACCCTGACCATTCTGAGCAGAACAAAGACAACACCAACTATTCGGTAAGTCAGTACTTCTCTCTATTTCTATTTCTCTCTTTCCTCTCTCTCTCGCTCTCAAACAAGGTTCTATCTATTTTCTATATCTGTCTTCTCTTTCTTAGCAACAGTTCATTTCCAAGTCTTTTTCTGAGAGAATCAAGGAAAAGCTTGAGAACTGGGTAAGAAACCTGCAGTTAAATTGTATTGATATAAATGTACTCGATATTTTTTCCTAGCCTTTACTTTTTTGTACGGGTAAATTTCAGGGTTGTGGCCTAGGGGTTTAGATGGGGTCTTGTATATTACAAATCGTGGGGTGACCCCCATCGGAGTTGTTTAATTCTTTCAGAATTGTATATAGCTATATTTACATTTACATTTATCTTGATACTTTCTTTTCAGTATTATGCGACTATGGATGTTGATCGGAGAGAGGCTCATCTACTGAAATATCCCTCTCATCTGGTAAGCATCTCCTTGACTTTACCTATCTTCATTCAGTACATACAACGAGAGATTTTTGCTAATAAAGTAATGAAAATTAATATTCATTCCCAAAATATCATGAAAAGAATATCAACATTCTTAATGTATGTCTGTATCATTATTACATCTGGAATGGGCTTTCAATTGTTGAAAAGTGGCGGAACCTAAAATTTGTGGCGCAACTTTTTTTTGTAAAAAAAAAAAGGGGGGGGGATTCCAGTGTTCATAATAGCAATTAGCAAATAAGTCTACACCACCGCGTATGTGGAGAGGAGGGGGGGGGGGGCTCTAAGGGAGACTTGTTTAACATTGATTGATTTTTTTTTCAGTTGGAGTGGTCTGAGCGTGTGAAATTCAGACACGAGCGGAAGTGGAAAATGCTAGACTTCAACGAGCCAGACTACAAAGAGTGGGATTTTCTATGAGCAGCACGAACCTTAATGGGACAGTTATTAATGGTCCTCGTTCGTCCTCGTTGTGGAGCTATAAATTTTGGTCACTCTGTGACGATCCATATCTGCATGTCGTTTTTCTTTCAGGACATTTTTAACTTTTTATACATGAAAAGCTTTTTTATTTATTTATTTATTTTCATTTTTAATGTATATATTAGTTGGTTTGACAGTTTTTTTCTCATCAAAATAATGTTTGCGATGAAACATTTTTGGCAGACAGAATATTCAGTAAGCACTGTGTGCTATCGTATGAAACATTTTGATGTTGGTCATTGTAAATATCATAATTATTAATATTTTTTTCTCTTTTTTTTGCACCAAACGTATCTTAAATTTAACGTTGGAAGACGGTATTGGTTTGACTGTATATCAAAGTGGCCGTTTAGAGGTGATTCCGCATGCTTTAATTACTTGTAAATATTATAATTGTTATAAAAATAAATTTGTTTTAAATTATTTGTCTGCTGTTTTCTTTCTAAAGAAACCTTATTATACAGACAGGTGCTTTGGGACGGACACCCCCCCTTTTTCCGTACCCCAAGGGTTCTTTGACTTTTTTAAAAATAAAATATTTTTCTATGACTTCTTCACAAAGTATTACATCTGAAAGATCTAAAATATAACCTAAAACTAGCATTTTATAAAAAATTCACACTTTCTGATACTAAAAAAGAACGTGTCGAAAATTATTTATCGACGTTGCCAACCTTGTTCTCTTATTAATATTATTGATTTAAGTAGAACGTGAGGTTCATCGATCCTCTGATAAGAGGGATAACTCTCGCTGATTTCTTTATAAAAGGCTTTTTTCTGTTGATTTTCCCCGCAAACGGGGGGAGGGGGGGGGTCTCTGTTTTAGTTCTTTTGAAAGAGAGATGCACAGTCCATGGTGGGTAAATGTAATTTTATATATACAGTCAAACCTCGTTATCTCAAACTCAATGTGAAAGAAAAAAAACTTTGACATATCCGAGGATCCAAGATATTGAAGGTAAAATACTTAAAGAATAAGTAGTTGGATTTCCAAATCACTTTGACATATTCATGGTATTTGAGATATCAGAGTTTGAGACACCGAAGTTCAACTGCATTATAAAACAAGCAGACTGCTCCAATTAATGATTTTGCATAATAATCGGTGACCCAAAACTGCCAAAATTTTGGAATTTAAAAATGCAAGAATCAGGTTACATGTACTTTAAACCCATTCAGAAGTGTAAACCTATAAAAATAAATTGAAATGACACATAACAACAAAACAAAAGAATATTTCATTTTAGTTAAGTTTTAATATGTTTGGAGAGTTTCCACTATTCATTCATTAAACCTACATCATTATTTCATACCTATATAGACTATAAATGTGCATCAAATGTGTTTCTGATCTTAACAATGACTGAATACTTGTAAAAGCTTTTTTTGGAAAAAATAGTCCTCTACCATTGTGACTTAACAGCATGAGATGGTTCATACACACTGTGAAATCACTAATTTTTGTGGGGGTTTAATTTTCGTTGTTTTCGTGGTCTGAAGACACCCACAACTTCATGTCCTCCACATAGGCCTTTAGGTCGCTTTAATCTGACTTACAAAAACATTGGGGTGTTAAATATCTCTCTTATACATCCCAATTTTTTTAAAAGTGAGATTTAAGCGATCCAAAGGCCTGTGGTCCTCCACAAAATGTAAAATTTCATTTATATGACAACTCAACACTTTTTCAACCATGAAATCAGATCACAACAAACGAAAATGATTTCCTCAAACCACAAAAATTTGACCCCTCAAAAAAATATGATTTTACAGTCAGTGTAAACTTTGCTTTAACACGTAAGGAGAAAAATACACACACATAGTTTACACTGTCAATTACATGTATCTATGGAAAACTACATGTGGACAATAGTTAAAGTCCCCTGAGATGAGAAATGTTAGATACATACTGGACATATCTGGAATGTGGGAAGGGGTTACAAGCACATGAAAAAAAGAACCTTCAATTAATTTTGCTTCATGCCAAAAACATTCAGAATACCAGAAAGACTTCAAAATCAAATCCCCAGAATTAATATTAATTGATTCAGCTTTTTTGTTTTGGACTTTCGCATTCATATAATTATGTTCATACATAAATGAAATTGCTAATCATCGAAATGTATATATACATATATATATATATTATAAAACCATAAACTATGTGAAAACATTCAGTACTTTCAATTACAGATAGAGAATTACATTCCGAATAACTTGGAAAAATGAATTTTATAAATGACTTATATAATAAAGCATTGTTTGGTTGCTGAAATGAATGTTTGGAAGATATGAAAGCTATGACTACATTTCTAAGATGCATCAAGAAATATGACTTTATAAACAGTTGAATACCTTCATTATTACATAAGACCATTTGCATACCACATGATTCTTGACAAGATTTTTAAAAATTAATCAGCATTTCTATCTTGATTGTCACTCAACATTCTAAATATTTGAAAAGATTTCCAAAATATAATAAAATAAGATAAATCATAAACCATTTCAGTCTTTCCAAAAAAAAAAAAAAATCAAAAACATGTCTTGAACACTTGGGAAAAATACAAGTTTGTCAAAAGAAAGAATAACATACATTAAGTATATGCACTCAGGGTTGTCCCTAAGACCCGGGGGCCGGGGAATTTTCCCCACCTATGATGATATAATCCCCCCGGTTACTCTGATATTCCCCCTCATTCCTCGTTAAAGGAGGAATCCAAGATCTCCTATTTTTTTAATGTCCCCTGCTATTTTAATTCTTAGGGACAACCCTGTGCACTACACAATGTCAAAATTGCTGAAATATACAACATTTCTTTCAAATCCAACATTCACGTATTGTTAACCCTGTACTTTGTGTCTTGAAAATTTAGCGAGTTACAATGTATTTATAATAAGTAGCCGAACTTGAGGATTTTACAATACATTGCACTACAGTGGAATGAGCTGCAAGTATTAAACATTTAACATAAATATAACATGCATTACAGTGTACATGTTTACTGCATGTACATCATTACATACAAACATATTATATCTACATGTACAACTTGCACTATTTTTACTTGTGCTAATGCAAAAATTATTTTATAAATACATTGAAATTGAGCCTTTTACATAAGTCAACATTGGTCCACTTCTACATAATAATGACAATTAAGAGGGAAAATGCATGAAGAATGCTGGTGAAAAATTGAAATTTAAAACTCCTATCTAATTTGATCTTGGTATATTCTCTTCTTGGTTTGACGGTCTGTCCGTTTGTTCTAGAGGATGTGAAGCAGAGTCTGTATCACTGTAGCTAGCTCCGTATGATACCTTGTTATCTGAATTTAGTTTCGTAGACTCATTGTTGGCCTCTGGGGGTGGACCTAACACAATTGGAGATGCCCCATCTGTTTTTGGTTGTTCCGTCACCACATGTTCTGGAGAGCTATTTTCAGGACTGCTAAATTCATCCTAAAAGATAAATTTAATTTTCACACAAAATTCAACATGAATCAATTTATATTAACATTGTCTCTCTACTTATTTTAATTTCAAAGAAGACAAAAATATTCTTTAAATTAAATTACTCACTAACAAATACAATTATAAAGGAAATTATATATAGGTATTTTGATATCATAATTATCTTACTTCGAAATATAAACTTTATAAAGCATTCAGCAAGTGCATTAAGGCTTGTTACTGAAAATTTTAGAGTAGTGTCCGGAGTTACTTCCCTTTGTCTAAATTCTTTCATGATTCCTGTCAAAATCCTAAGAACAAAACCCCATCTTTGGTAAAATTCTCTTAAAAATTCACTTAAAACTTCATAACAATACTGCTCACTTACAAACACCTTTATACACTACAGGTGGAAAGCTACACTGTATCTATGGACACTGTTCAACAATCCTGGGTAGTGTATGGATTTGTAAATGTGAAATTACAGTGACCATATTAAGGAGGCTGGGGGGTCAACAAATTAACCACAAATTAACCACCAGATTTAACTTAATTTTTTAGATATGATATCTTAAGCTGTCAACTATCATTTGGCAAAGAAAAATTTCAAAAATTTTAGTTTTAAAATTTGATCATTTTCTATATCTTCATATGGAGCTCTTCTTCTAAAAATGGCCACAACCCCCCAGCCTCTTTAAAGCTACACATTCATTTTGTGCATTAAAAAAACAGTGTGAAGAGGGAGTGAGCCAACTGGTGGCACAAGCTATCTCTTTTTTTCCTACATGCTTTAAAGTGTCTTCTAATTGCTTACCTGCAATATGCAAATAAATTAATTAGATAATTTTCCCCATATTTAGAATAGTTAGAATATTTATAAATTTAATACACTGAAAGTCAATTAATTTTAGAGTAAAGGGAACATAACTCTTCTGTCAACAAAAAAGGTGATTCTTAGGTGCGACTCATTGTTAGAAAAAAAAATGATTCTCCTTGAAACAGGCAATTAAGTCCTTACAAGTTGCGTTATTGAGGATCACACTTACTGGTGGGATAATTCATTTCATTAATACTGTACATTTCTTCACATGGGATTAATTTAAACTGTGTACGCTAGCACTGTCACAAATTTTCCAGAAAATTTGTCACAGCTTACGTAAAATGCATTTAAGACACATAACAATAATCCAAGAAATCCATGTAATTTTCGAGCGATGGATTGAACAGAAATTGTTATTCCAAGGAATTATGACCCTGTGGAAAAAGATAAATTTACAGTATATCATGAGCTGACAAATCCCATTGCCCGACGCCTGGGGCTAGTGGATTTTAGGGATGAGCAAGTGAAATTTTACCAACCACTTGCCCGTGGGCAAGGGACTGAAAAAAAAAAATAAATTCAATATGGATGTCACAGATTTAAAGCTGGGCTTAGGGGCTTGCATGATCTACTCAGTAATTGTCTTCATATTTTTTTAAATATATATATTTACATTTGCAAATGTTTTCCTTTAAATAAGACTATTAAAAGCAACGCGTATCTATATCCGTATAAACACGGGTTCCTTGCGTCAAAAACGTTTGACGTTATTTCTCAGTGACGTCATAAAGGGTTGACGTTGAATCAATGGATCAAATATGTGCCGTTGAGTTTGAAAAATAAAACATTTCACACTCTAAAGATCATAATCAGGAAAATATAAACTATAAGTAAGTCATAAATGTAAATATAAGTAATAATGTATCATTTTTAAACATCTATCGGGATATAAATACGGGTTGGTACGAGATCAAATTTATCATAAAGCCCTTCGGGCTTTATGGAATTTGATCTCATGACCAACCCGTATTTATATCCCGACAGATGTTTAAAAATGATACATTATTTCTTAAATAAATACAGTGTTAGTTCATGGTGGGGCAAGCAAAAATTCATGTAGGGCAAGTGAATTTTGACCATGCACTTGCCCTTGGACAAGTGCCTAAAATTTATATTTGTCAGCCCCTGTATATTCTACTTATATCTAAAATAAGAGACGTTGGAAATACACAGTGTTAGTAGTGGATCTACAAAAGCATGATTATAGCAGCATAGTGATAAAAATATTTGCATCAGCGTGTGTCAGGTGTCTACGTGGTTAAGATACAAGCTTCGCACAGCAAGAAATCACTAAGGGGGTCTTACACGACGTACATGTAGATTTGCGTATTCTCCGTCCTCCTCTGGATTCGGTGGCTTCCATTTGCCACAGCAGAAATTACAGCAACAACAGCAACAGCAGCAGCAGTAGCAACCAGTGATGATACCACAGAAAATAAACAAACCCTACAAAATTATAATTAGAACATATGATATATTACATACTGTTCATTTTAACATAAAATACTAGAAAGTTAAGGTAGAAATTGGCAGGCAAAACAAATTTCACATAGTATTTAAATATAATAACAGAGTATTTAAATATATAATGACATTGATTTTTTTTTTTATTAAATCACTATCTGTATTATAAAATTAATATGTACAGTGTAATAAACTTTCACTTTGGTTTAAAGGGTTTAGTCACATACATTTCACATTATACAATTCACTTAAAGTATTTCATTGAACTTCCTGTTTATGGTTATATAATCTTTAAAAACAATCTGTGATAATAATCTTCAATTCTGTATAGGTCTTTTCTTCCTTATAACTTTATGTATCGAGATATCTTTTGTAAGTAAAATCTCAAAACAAGGGGGTTATAATTACCTCCTACTCAAACATCATGATATATGTATAAGTTGTATTTAAGTAAATAATTCTTACTCTATATAAAAATATTTCATGACAAGTACAAAAAAAAATATTTCTATATTCAAACAAGAAGACATACACCTATATAAATTACATTTGATAAGTACTGTAAAATCACTTATTTTAGTGGGGTAAGTTTTTTGTCATTTCAGGAAAAATACTGGTTTGCGGGGATTGGATTTTATAGATGAAGAGTTAAGGACAAGATACTGAAGTTTGAAATTTTTACATTTCATGGAGGACATGAATTCTTGGGTCTCTTCATATCATGAAAACAATGAAAATTTACCCCCCCCCCCCCCCCCCCCCATGAAAATTAGTGCTTTCACAATATTACTTACTTTCACCAATTACATGTAAAACTAGAGGTACTTGTATGTGATATGATACCCCAAAAGTTACACACCATGCTGACAAAAACGTTTCACTTTTTTTTCTGACAGTGAACTTGAATTGCTAAATGACTTGGGTCAAGGTCATGGCACATCCTCAAGTCATAAGCAATCTTTTTTTCTTTTCAAGTATGTAGGATTTTTTTCTAATATTTTTCTATTACAATGTATGGCTAGGACAAGAATTATATAAAAGTCACTTCAAGCTTGTACAAATGTCCTTGTCATAGTGTCTTCTGGACAGTTGTATAAAGTATGAATTAACTTTCAATGTTTGAAAATTTTGGATTAGACATCAACTATAAATTTTCTCTGCCAGTGACCTTGTACTTGACCAAATTACCTTGAATAAAGGTTACAAAACACCCTCAGATCATAAGCAATCTCTGAGTCCTATTGCATGAGCTTCCAATGTTTCAGTCTGGATATGATTTCATAGATATACTGATGGATGGACGAAAAAGGTGTTTCCTATACATGTATATATACCTCCCAAAACTGTTTGCAGGGGTGAAATAATTAATGGAGATCAAGAAAGATCTAGGGCTACCCCAACACCAAATTCATAAATAAATATTAGTGCATAACAAGAATTCTCATGTGAAATTCATCTAATAAATGCACAAAATGAGAAATCAGAAAAAAAATTTCCACATGAATTTTGGGTGAAATTTATACGAAATTCTCTTCATGGAAATATGTTAGGTACATTTGGAACTGTATCAAAAGTAATAATATCGCAACAGTGAAAGGAGCGAATGTTAGAATATATACTAGCCTTGCACCAGCCACTGGTCAATAGAAGGTAGGTAGTGGCATTCTCCTCCCCAAACTGGTCAGCAGCCCAGATTCCCAGAGATCCATACTCATCATAAATCTGTCTCTTGGTTGTGTCTGTCAGAATGGTATGTGCTCGACTGATTTCTTTGAACTGGAAAGGTTGTGGAAAAACATAAAGAAAAAAATCATTAAGATGATCTAATTAGATTGAAATTGCAAAAATTTTTTGCATCATCGGATACCCACGGGCGATCTCATCTGATGAGTAAAATACGAGATCACCCGTGGGTATCCTGTGATGAAATTTTTGGTGTTTCCTTCCCTTTTCTGTTGAAGCTGGTAGCAAAATGTCATTTAAAGACCTCCCAGATAGTATTGTTTAATTAGTCATTTCAGTAGACATGAAAGCTTTAAGAAGTATAGATATCTATTACAAATCATACATCTGCAAACTGAACTTGATGGGATGGATAGATATCCAGGGATTCAAGACATGAGCTAGCCTAAAGTTAAAATGCATAAAGAAAGGTGGTAGGGATTTTCACGAATTTACCTCACTTTGACAAATTCTTGCTACATATATTGGAGATATCAAATTTTGAGATACCCAAACTTTAAAATTATTTAAAATTATTGAAATTACATAACTGCATTGTACTTAACGGGGTCAAAGGTAAAAAATATGGCTATTTCTGTCACAAAAAATTTCTCATGTAGGTCATGCGTTAATGATTTCACAAAAAACAGGAAATCTATCAGCACATCATTAAGTATATATTTATACAACAAGATTCTCTCTCCTCATCAGTTGATGACTTTATAGGTACATGAAGATATAAACATATTCCTCAAGAGATATGTTAAACAGTTGATTTAGGGCTCAAGAGGAATTTTTCACTGATCCATACAAAACAGAGACCCCTGTACATGTAATGTTTGGCAGCAAATTGTATTTATTATTCTGATTTTCTTTCAGCATTTCCAAAACGAGTTTCCTCTTAGTTATTCTCCTTTATTGATTTGCAGTTTCATTTCATCGCTGATCAATATTATGTTCTTGATATCTTCATTAATTTAGAATTGTAGAAAAAGACATACTTAATAATATGACACATTTTCATTTTTTCCTGTTTTAAAATTCACAGCTATTATAACATGTATAAACAAGAGATGTTTGTGAAACACTTATCTCTCCCCCCCCCCCACCCCCTCCCCAAATAACTGGAATTTTTCTAAGTCCAAGGGGCATAACTCTGTCAAAAATTGCTCGATCGTACCCAAAACAGAACTTGACCTAGATATTCTATGATAAATCTGTAAACCAAATTTCATTTCAGTATGTGCAACCTTTGCAAAGAAAATGAACGGAAACTGTTGGTGGACCAACAGAAAGACTTACTGACAGACCGACAGACAGCAGCAAAGCAATATGCCCTACCTTCTTCGAAGGGGGCATAACTATATATTATGCTGTGTCTCTTTAATGTCAAATTCCATGTACTATATGAGTGTATAACTAATTTCAATTTCCAATTTTAAGAAATAATGTTTGGTCCTGTTAATAAAGCTGAATCAGAATGTTTGATATCAAATATAGTTCAACGCAAAATGATACTGCTGATCTCTAGGTTAATTATAATAAAACAGTTATAGAAATTTATCCATGTGACTTAAACCATTTCCTGGCTTTTGAATTAACTAGAAGGGTAATATATTCTCTTAATTAATTTACTATGCTAGTATTTCGTTGAAATTTAGTCTTGCAGACTCCTTATTTCTCACTATTCTCTAAACTTGAAAATGACATAAATTTAAAAATAAATGTCCTCATAGCTTTGTGAATCCATAATGTATAGGAAATTTATAGATCTATACATAAAATTTGAGTATGATACCAATTCCTGGATAAGCCACTTCCAAACACTACTGCATGCTAAAACAAGTGAGCTGTTAAATTACTTCCCAAACATATTGATTACACATTCCTATGAGGACATACAAAATGTATAACATTTGATTAACTGCAGATAATATCAATATGGGCTAGGCATAAATAGGCAAGTGCTTACAAGTGGGAGTAACCATATCGCACCCTATAGTAGGTAATTCAACTCCTTAACATGCACGGCTAATATTGAACTGCCCAAACACACTGTAGAAAGAATACATTTAGTGATAAACCATGGAAAAATGAAAAAGTATCAATTTCAATCAATTTTTTTTTTGTTGGTGTCAGTATTCTGACAAAATATCATAACTGAAGAAAACATGAACAATATATGACATGTATACCTTACATGTAATATACATGCACATATTTCACGAAAACTAAAATGTGTGCAATGGTTATCATAACCTAATTTGTTTATTTTACAGATCACCTAGACCCCTGCCTGAATTGTGAGAGTCCAGTGGGATAGGATTACTGGTAGAATAACATTGATTTTCTGCTTCAGGGGCTGCTAGCAGATAATAATGTCAAATATAAAACTAGGCAGTGAGGAATGTCACTTTAACCTTATTACAGTGCAGGGAACTAATTTTGTTACATAAACCAGCATCAGCATAAGCATTAGTAGCATCAGGATCGAGCTAGCATCAGGATCAGCATTTAAAAAAAAGCATTACCAGGATCAGCATCAGCAAGCAAAGGATAAACCAGCATTGACCTACATAAAATCAGCATTATCCTACTAGCATCAGAAAATCAGTGAGTTTAATTCAGTAAAAAATTAAAAAAGAAAGAAAGAATATTGGTTAAAGTATTCACATTATTGATACATAGTGAGATATTATGATCAAATAATTGTAAAAGGCACTTTTATTGCTTTAAACGGCAATGCTGAAATTCATTATCTACATGTACTTCCGGTAGCATGATGCTACTTCCGGTAGCAATGACCTAATTATAAAACAGCATCAGGATAAGGATCACTAGCATTAAATCAGCAAGCAAAGGAAGCATTCAAATCAGCAAGCAAAGGAAGCATTCAAATCAGCATTGATGCTGTAACAAAATTAGTTTCCTGCACTGTACAACAAGCAGTTAACTAATCTCAAAGCTCATATTTATGCTACTAACTATGTGTTTTTCTCCCTTTCAGTTTCTCCCTAGACTGCGGTGTTTGGATTTCTTATCTTCTCAAGAAAAATACATGAAGAAATCTTAATAAGTTAAAATGTATTTTCTTTTTCTTACAGCATGTTTACTAAATAATAACAATAAACAAGAAAGTCACATTTGTTGAATTAGTGAAATGAACAATTTACAAAATTAGAGAAGAAAAGTTGGTCTGGCTTATGGCATACTCTACCTCTTAAAAATGATAAAATAATAATGAAAAGCAGAAAATGATATACACATGATTGGTTAATATGTATAGTCAATACATTGACTAGTGTGTGAATATTGCATTATATCATGAAATTTCCTCCTTGACTCCTACATATCATTAAAAAACTGTGATAAAATTTTACCCATGTTATTATATTTCCTGATTATCATCAGTGTTCCAGCCTATTACTAAAGACTAAAGCTACCTTACGCCATTTTCACAGTATTTGTGCTAATTGTGTTGCACTTGGACCAAAAAATAAAAAGTCATATAGCACATTATTGACATGTTTTCTAGAAAGTACAATACCTCTGCACGCGAGTCCCAAATTTTTTTAATATAAGCATTCTTATGAAAAAAGTTATGAGAAGTCAAATTTTGGGTAAGATCTAGTGTTGCGGACACTACATTACACCTGTTACATCTAAAATAAAATATTAAAGATATTTATTTATTCCAAAATTCTTGCAGGTTTCAATTATATATATGATTGCAGTGAAATAAAAGAAAAATGTTATGGTTCTCTTTGAAAACAAAAATTTTATTCACATTAATGACTTGCTAATTTTGTTGCCTAATTTATCTCCCATCCTTAAGTTTATCTACCTTTACAATTACACATAAGACCTATATAATTATCATGTGAAAATTAAATTGAATGATTCTAAATTTCAAATACATCTGTCATAACATCCTGGATATCTTTGTTTGCATCTTGTCTAGCTTTGAAAATGCATGGCATTTTTGTTGTGGACACTACAAGTGACCATAAGAACAATCTTTTGTCATTTTTATAAAAATAATTGTTGATAAATGTTCATTTCTAGGCTGAATTACATACCACAGGATCAACTCTTGAAAATGGACAATATTAAAAGATGTAGAATGTGGTTTACTGAGATGAAAATAACCACATAACAAGGACTATTAAATATTTCTTGATGTATAATTGTTATGCAGTTTAAAAAAATGTCTATGATTTCACTTATGTTAATACAATTCAAAAATTATAACAAACAGTTTTATAGATAAATTCAATGAATTAAAGAATTTTCTGAGGTATCTATAATTTTTTTTCAGTATTGAAATTGTTGCGGACACTACAATATATTGAAATATTGCTAAATGACACCATATTTGGTTTGAATGGAGTAAACTGAACATCTTAATCTCCAACTAGTTCTATATGTACGGTAAATGGTATTATATTATAGGGAAATAAAAAAGGCTAGTCAAAAATGGTATTTTGGCCTAGAAAATAAAACCCATATATATACCAGTAAGTTTGAAGTGTTATCTTGTACAAAAATCACCATTTGTTATCTTAATCCAATTAACAAACTTTATTATCAAAGGAGCTAAATATCAGAGAAGTATTTCATATTTCAGAAATATTTAATGAAATAAAAAGTGAAAATAATACATGAATGTGTTATATAGTTATTAACGTAGTGTCCACAACACAACTGCATTAGTTAGAACTAGACTTATTAATTAACAATTAACATATTGATATATTCTTAAGGTTCCTCTTACTCAGTTTTAAATACCACATGAAAATTGACTTTCAATATATAACATAAAACTGACAATTGAAAGATTTTGAATAATATGTATTAACATGTCGTTATGGGGTGTTATTCAAAGTCTGAAGTTATAGTTCAATTAAGTTTTGTAACCTTACATGTTGAATTGAATATTTGGATAATTATAGTGATGGTCAATTGAAATCATGTTACATTTCCTTGAAAAAAACTTTGAATTAAAAAAGCTGTTGCGGACTCTACAGCGTTGCGGACTCTACAAAACACAATATATCTGCCAGAATTCCAAGCAACACTGAGTTAAAGTCTAATATTTTTTGGTAGATAGATTAGTAGCTGCACTGGCTTCTTATATGTAAAATAAAAGAAATATAATTCATAATGCATTCCAAAATAAGCACATGTTGCGGACACTACAGAATTTTGGGACATTTTTATGCCAGTAAGAAGAAAATGTGTCATTTTCTAAAGTTTCGAAGAATCCACTCAAACTTTTCTATACAGTTTCATTTATCATTTAACTCTATTTTTAAAAAGAACCTAAAGTAATAGTAATGCATTAACATATTTTTTTATAATTGCAAGTTCAAACAGTAGAATTACATAAAATTTCATAACGTATCTGCATTTTCACATATTTCAACATTATTTCGTTAATATTTTGTTGATTTACATAAAGTAAATTGCATATAAAAGAGGGATAATTTCACAATGATTTGACATCTATGACTAAGAGTTTCTATTGTAAATCTTCTGAAACAAAAACTGGATAACAAAGCCATTTTTCAGCTGCAACAGCATAACACATAATATACCCCATATTTTCAGTAGTAAATCTTCAATATTTTTATTGTATAAAAGATAGGAGTGTTGTATATCATTTAACTTGTTAGGGGTACCATTTGGTCATAATTTGGTCATACTTGTTAAGAGTTTAATCATATATTTTGATGCAGAGTGCATTATAACATTAGTGAGTATGAAAAATCACAAATACTGTGAAAATGGCGTTAGGTAATTTAAAAATTAAAAGCTCTTTCACACACCTATGATCATGATGATCAAAACAAGAGGCCCATGGGCCAAATCGCTCACCTGAGCATTTGGCTAGGAGTTCAGTATAAGTAGTATTAACCTACCCCTAACAGAAGGGGGGATGATTTGAACAAACTTGAATCTACACTAACTCAGGATGCTTCCATATAAATATTTCTAATCATGGCTCTGCTGTTCTTGAGAAGAAGATTTTTTAAGATTTTTCGCATGTATTCCTATGTAAAACTTTTATCATCCATTGTGGCCTCTTCCTACCCCCGGGGGTCGAGATTTGAACAAACTTGAATCTACACTACATGAGGATGCTTCCATATAAATATTTCTAATCATGGCTCTGCTGTTCTTGAGAAGAAGATTTTTAACAATTTTTCCTATGTATTCCTATGTAAAACTTTGATCGTCCATTGTGGCCCCGCCCCATGCACCCAAGGGGCCATGGTTTGAACAAACTTGAATTACACTACCTGAGGATGTTACCATATAAGTTTCATCTTTCCTGGCCCTATGGTTCTGAAGAAGAAGATTTTTAAAACACCCCACCAAAGAGCAAGAGCCACTTAAAGCCTTTTTTGGCCCTGTGAATTTTTGAAAAATCAAAACTGCTCAGTTTTGGTTGACAATGCAGTATTTATCATTTGGACTCTTGTTGACTGTCTATCTATTGAACATGACATAATTTTCTCTCTGGTCAATGTATTAAGACGTCATGAAATGCGTCATTTTTCCCATATCCTGTAAATTTCATTAAAAATGGCCAAAAGATGAAGTATTTTTTTCAATATTTCATATAGAGCACAACCTCTGATCCAAAATATGCAATTACACAAGGAAAGATCTCTCTGTGAAGATCATAAAACTTGTTTTAATTTTTGGATCGAGGGCTGTGCTCATATTTAAATTCTTTGCTAAAGGTTGTCAAATATGCCTGTTTTCTGCTAAATTCAAGAACAATGCATTTTCACAGCCTGTTTTCCAATACATGTATTCTCAAAAAGAAATTATGTTATAGGACATGAAAACACTACGTTTCTACTTTATTTTGATATATGAAATTGGACAGGGGTTGATAGTCAATTAATTAATATAAGGATAGGGCCATTTTATGCATAAAGTGAACCTAGCTCTTTTTACTAAATCTTAATTATCTCCCCTTGAAAGAGGGTGTGGCCCTTCATTTGAACAAACTTGAATCCCCTTCACCCAAGGATGCTATGTGGCAAGTTTGGTCAAATTGGCCCATTGGTTCTGGAGAAGATAATATTGTGAAAAGTTAACAACGGCGACAACATGAACAACGACAACAGACAACGGACAAATTTTGATCAGAAAAGCTCACTTGAGCCTTCGGCTCAGGTGAGCTAACAATAATTACAATGAGCTTGAATTTCATTCATAACCACACTTTCTTTCTTGTGTTTATTTTGGGTATATATTAAGAATATGTGTTTAAAAATGCATACACAGTCAAACCTTATCTTGTTATCTTGAACTAAATGGGACCAAGAATAAAAATGTTGAGGTATTTAATGGTTCAAGATATTGCGGTTAAAATGAAATGTAATATACCTTTTCTGCTGCCTCTGGGTCATCAGGATTCTTGTCTGGGTGACATTTTAATGCTAACTGTAAAAAAATAATAACTGAGTTAAATGAATCAGAGTAACTTCAACACAATGAGAATTTCTATTCATATTTTCACATTTATAACAATTCACTTTTTTTTTATGAAAATTCTCAAATTTATAAAATGCCTATTAAGATTCTGAGTTGTTTTGTAAATGTTTAAACATATGATAAATTATGAAAAATCATCTCAAGCTTCTGACTTATAAACTAGAAGTTTGTGATTGTCAAATTGAGTTTTTTTTACTGTACTGGGTAGTTTACATATGAATTTGCACAAAAAACATGAAATTCTACTGTTGTATATCATTGTACTTCTAGTGGTTGGTGTAATATGGACAGTGGCTATCGGCTTGGATATCTCTGTAGTTAGTTAGAGCATTTGATTTGTAATATTCAGGTCCAAGAATGACCTAGATTCAAATTCCCAGTCCAGTCATAAATTATCCCCTTTCCTGTTACATTTGGTGCCATGTACCTAGGATATGAAAATGTGGTGCTTTGGGCTGTGTGGAATGGGGGGGGGGTGCTAGCCTGAGTGGCTCAGTGTTTGGAGTACCTGATAGTAATGCAGGGGTCCAAGACTCAATTTCCAGCCTAGACCTTCCCTGCTTACACTTGGTGCCATTGACCATGCTGACCATCCCTGGACATGCAGGTGAAAGTTCTACTTGGGCTTACAGAAAGAAATTTTGTGGGTTGCCTCTTTGAGGGCAAAGAAAATTTAAGAAGGGAGGAATGTAGTGGTTGGGCTATATGGACCACGTCTATCAACCTTGATAGCTCAGTAGCTAGAAAACCTGACTAGTACCGGCAATACAGGAGTCCATGGGGTATGCTTCCCTTTCCAGTCATAAATTTTCTCCTTCTCATATCTAAATGTCTTCAACCATCATAACACCAACCTATTCTTTCTCTGGAATGCCCCCACCAGTCACTTTCAGGACAAAGGGCAGCACCAAATGTAACAGAAAGAAGAAAAATCTGACAGACTAAGCCAAGTTTTGAATCTATTTTTTTTTTTTTTAATTACCAGTAGACCATTCATCACCAGTACACTCTTCGTTTTCTATTTGTCACTCATGAGAGGATCGAAAGCAACCCAATTCAGGTCACGTTCTGGTAACCTTTGGGCCAACAGATCAGCTTTTTGCCTCTGAAATCTTCGGTGAGATTTTTGGCTGCATTGGAACAGCAAGTACATGTATTACTAAAGCGGTCCAGGGTATTCAGATGGTAAATCGAGTGGCATTGTCCTAATCCCTCTGAACTCTAGACAGGTGTTCTACAAACTGAGGTATCTTGCGCCCGGTAATATTATAAATCTGTGTTACCACCATGACAATATAAACTCCTAACTTACCCTTCTATATGTCTTTCTTATTTCTTCATGTGGTGCACCCTTTTCAACTCCCAGTAACTCATACAAACTGTTTCCTGATTTTCTGTTAATAAATAAAAATTCACAAATCAAACAGTTTGTCCAAAAAAAATTGTATACCTTAGTCTTCATGTTTTGTAAAATTATCTATTAATTTAGCATTATCTGTGTTGACCTCTCCACAATTACAACACATCCTAATAAATGCAACTTATTACCATTATGTCCACATGATAAACAGACCTGCTCTGAGTCTGTGGGGCAAGAAAGAGTATTTTCTCTTTCTTAATAATACTGAGTTTATCAAATATTTCTTTTTTACTACTTCTTTTTTCTTTTTTACTTGTATTGATTCCCAAATTTCGATATGTGTCCAGTGTTAAGAAGAATATTAAATGTATAGAAAAACAGAAGATCTACACCTATTCATAAAAACGTCTCTGTTTATCCAGTTCTATTACATAAAGTAGCACATATGATATAGGCTAGTGACATACATCGAATTCATTTTTGGGCACTCCCCTTTTCCAACATTTAAGATAAGATTTACTTACGACAGATGTCTTGGACGATTCATTATATCCTTCAAAAGTGTCTGATAATATTTTTATCCGTAATCAATGGATCTGGTCGGCGGATTCACACTTAACCATCTCAAAATCAATAATATTAGTGCTCATGCCAATGTACAGGATGCGGCAGCCGTTCCGGAAAGACTTTATTTCGCAACCTTGAAATATGTTCAATGAAATTAAAATCTCTATTGTATTTACTCATAAATGGTTTTAATTGTTAAATAAAATTAGGAAAAACAGATAAAGTGCATTAACAAAAAAATGTTTCGCTTTACAAGCAACACGTTTTTCTCGTTTCCAGTTCGAATTTTACATAGAAGAAGGTGTTTCGTTATTTCGTCCTTAAGTAAGGTCGCCCTGAGATTTTTTCGTTCCAGCACGGATATAAATAATGTTATTTATGTCTCTGGTTCCAGATATCAATGTATATCATGCAGGGATCCAGGAATTTTTTCCCTGGGGTGGGTTCATATAAACTTATAAAAAAAAATCTGACAGCGATTTTTTGGGGCAAAGACAAAAATATAAATAAATAAATAAATAAATAAATAAATAAATAAATAAATAAATAAATAAATAAATAAATAAATAAATAAATAAATAAATAAATAAATAAATAAATAAATAAATAAATAAATAAATAAATAAATCAACGTCTCCAAACCCAAAAACCTATTCGGGAGGGGGGGGGGTTAGAAGGATTGATAAGTCGCTTTCCTTCATATAGATAACTCTTACCATTTTGCCAGGGGATACATATTTTCTAGTGAGAAAGGGGGGTGGGGTGGGAGGATCCAAAGGAACTGATTTTTAAAATAATTTTCTACTATATAAACTTAATTAATAATTGAATTAAAATTTCGGGGAAGGGGGTTGTCGGGGTTCCCCTTCTAGATCCGAGTATGTGCATACATGATTTTATATAAATCTATTCGGCTGCAAGTAATTGAATTGTACATGTTTGCACAACCAACCAATTCTTCCCACTCCCACCCTTCAAAAAATTTACTGAAACAGAACTGAAAAAAAAAACAGACAATACATTTTTACAGTTTAAAAGATCAAATTGGCCGTTCCGCATGTGTGTAAAAATGAGAAGCTTGCAGTCGCCAGCTACATGTATAACATCCCCCCCCCCCCACACACACACACGGATCATGCCCTAGGTTTTTATATGCTTTTGAGGTTAAACGTAAATATTTACATTTTTAAAAGTCGTTGTCTCTGTAGATCCGCGCATAGGTTCTGTCACGTGCTAGCTGAGCAACTCGCTTGATGAGGAGATAAAACTGTTACCTTATTTGTAGACGCATAGGTTCTGTCACGTGCTAGCTGAGCAACTCGCTTGATGAGGAGATGAAACTGTTACCTTATTTGTAGTTTCATCTACAAATAAGATAACAGCTTTATCTCCTCATCAAGCGAGTTGCTCAGCTAGCACGTGACAGAACCTATGCGCGGATCTAAAGGGGGGTCGGGGGATCCGGACCCCCCCCCGGAATTTACAGAGTTATTAAAGGTATATACTAAACCAACTTAAAGTGATCTTGGACCCCCGCCCCCCTAGAAAACGCGGATCCCCCTCTGGGGATCTGTACAAAGTTGGTACGAAAAGTCTTAGGTACATTGTGTATATGAAGCTTAAGAAGTAAACGACTACCCCCCCCCCCCCCCCCCCTCCAGAAATAGTTTTTTTCACTCTTGGGAAAGGAGTTTACTTTTTTTTTTTTTTTGCTTGTCAAGAATTTTCTAGGTTGGAATTTTTTTTTTGACTGGGGTGGACCCCCCCCCCCCCCACTGGAAAAAATCCTGGATCCGCGTCTGGAACCCCATGCTTTCTCGCTGTGTTGCTTAGTAATACAGGAGGAGGGGCCTACAGAGATTTCTCATTATTGAATAAAAATATTTTTATTGAATTAAGGATCATGAGAAAATGTAAATATAAGGATTTTGTTTTGGTTTTATGATGATGATGATCAATCAGTTTGCTCGCGTGATAATTTTATGCATGAATCCCCCCCCCCCCCCAACCCGGGGTTTCAATAATGTAGACCTCTCCGATATTTTATCTTATCAGACATTTAAATTATAAAAAAAAAAATGGAGGCAGTGACATTAAATTTATTACATCTATATTACATGTACCAAACCCCACCCCCCGAGAAAAAAAATAGCGAAGAATAATTGTTTTATTTTAAAAATCACATGTTCCAGCTACTTTAATTTCAGATATGTTACATGTATTGGGGGGGGGGGGGTAGAATTCTCGACACAAAGTCATTCTTTCGTTTCAGAAATTTCAAAACTTAATGAGTGTGTTTAACACATCCACGCAAATATATTTAGTGCACTTTCGTTCAATAAAATCCTATCTTAAACATCATGCACTATATATATTTTTAAAACAAAAATTCGTCAAATTGTCCCTGATATATATGTATTGTCTGTTGGGATTAGATAATCCAGCTCCAAAATATTTGTACAAAGTCAGTCTTGTGTGGAAGGCGCTCTTGGGAACTTTACAAAACTATTTTTACAACAAGACAAGAAAACCACTGTCTTCTTCATAAGGTATATACATGTAATATGAAATGTCAGTTAATCTTTTTGACTTAGTCTCAACTTGAATGGTGTCAAACGAAAACTTTTACAATTTTATATGTAAATCATTCTAGCTTAAAAAAAATGTTTCACAGACCTAGTTTGGAAAAGGACATACATGAAAATTTGATCGTTGATATTAAATTTGACTTTGACCATATGCATCAAGAAATCATCACTCTGTTAAAATATTTTATTTTCATGATTTCAAATAAAATACAGATGCATTGATGCATTTTATATACAGAAATATAATATCACACAAATGTATCTTGTACAAGATGGTACATATGTATTATTTTTTCAAAAAAAAAGGATTAATTAAAAACAAAAGGCCCAAGGGCCACAATGCTCACCTGATTAACTTTAGTTCTTCAGAAGATCTTAAAAATTATATTGTATACATGTATTTTCCTTGAAAAATTGAGACGGTCACCCGATATCATGGCATCACCTTAACTCTTGGAGCCTCTGAGTCCACACACCATGGGGATGCTCCAAAATCAATATGACTACAAAATGGCCTTTCAGTTATGGCCAAGAAAATTCTTTTCCTGTATATATGCATTTTGTAAAATTTGATCCTGATTTTAGCCATGATGAAAAATAAAAAATAAATAAAAAAATTAATTCACACAACTTGAGTATGTTTGCAAATTAATGGTTTCTTTAGAAGATTTTTAAAAAAATTCCTTATTTAGTTCCTTAAGAAATTTTGATCCCCTATTGTGGCCCCACGCTACCCCCGGGGACCATGAGTTGAAGAATTTAGAATTTACACTACCTTAGGAAGCCTTCATATAAGTTTCCCCTTTTCTGGTCCAGTGGTTCTTGAGAAGATTATTTTTTAAAGATTTTTTCGTATATATTTCAATGTAAAAATTTGATCTTTTATTATGGACCCAAAGGGTCCATGATTTGAACAATTTACAATCTTCAATATGTCTGGAAGCTTTTACATAAGTTTCATTTTTTGAGCCCAGTGGTTCTTGAGAAGATTTTAAAAGACTTTTCTTATATATTTCAATGTAAAACTTTCATCCCCTATTGTGGCCCCACCCTAAACCTGGGGGTCATGATTTGAACAATTTAGAATTTACACTTTCTCGGGGAAGCTTCCATAACAGTTTCACCTTTTCTGGCCGTGTGGTTCTGGTTCTTGAGAAGAAGATTTTTGAATGATCCCAACCTATTTTTGCCTTTTTTGATTATCTCCCTTTGTAAGAGGGCTTGGTCCTTCATTTGAATAATTTAAATTCCCCTTTACCAAAGGATGCTTTGTGGCAACTTTGGTTAAAATTGGCTCAGTGGCTCTACAGGAGTAGTTGAAAATGTGAAAAGTTTACAGACAGACAGGATGGACCAAGAACTTAAAATGGACAACCAGATGAACAGACAGTTGGATGAACACCAGACAAATGGTAATCAGAAAAGATCACCTGAGCTTTAATTCAGCTCTGGAGAGCTAAAAAACACAATGTAAATAATTAGAATATATAAATGCAAACAAATTTTTTCCCTGAAAAATATTATATTGATAAGTGCATGTCAATAAATAGAAAATATATACAATAATTTTGTTAAATAAAACTTGGAGACCTGCTCTTAATTGAAGTTCTGATTTATCAATGGATGGGATCTTAATATTTTCTACATCATAGATTGTGTATGACACCGCTTTTATGGTTTTCCAATCCACAGCGTATAACTTCATTAGTGACTCCTTCATGAACAAAAAAGCATGTCACACCTACAATATTAAATTTTATTTTTAGGTAAAAATCTAGTTAGAAAATAAAACATCTCAAATTGTTTCTTCTGTGGTACAAAGAATTCATTTATATAATTAATCCATGCAATTCTGTTATTATATTCTATCACTTAAAATTTACAGTATTTCATTTGTTTTCATTTAATGTTGAGTAAATTGCAAATTAGATATAGTACAATGCATTATTTATTGCTGCAATCATACTATATAGTCACTAATCACAGAGTTAGGGGTCTAACAGAATACAGTAAAACTTCATAATCCCAAATGCCAATATCTCGATTAATAGAGCTACACTGAAGTGCATTGGCAGTGCCAACCAATTTTTCTCAACATTTTTTTTTTACCCTTGTTACCTCAGTTCTGATGATATCTTTAAGTTTTATCTTGGTCCAGTCAAGTTAGAGATAATGAAGTTTCACTGTATATATACAATGTATTATAAGATCTTTATCATGTAAGACCCTGAATTCTTTGGTTACATGTAGCATCTATATACACTATATATCATGCATTTAATATGATAGGAAGAGAATTAAAACCTGTATTTTTTAACATTATGAGAACAAATTCCTACCTAATTTTGATACATCACGTATGTTTCTGTGTTCATCATCAAAGAAAATCATGTCCTGAAACCCAATTCCACTGTCTTTTTTAATCCTGTCAAAAGTAAATAAGAGTAAAAATTTATATTTATTAGGGATGTCAGATCGGTCAATTTTTGATAATCGGTTACTCGAACATTTTTCCGATCGAGTACCCGGGTACTCGGTAAAGTGTAAATACAAGTGTGTTAATTTTCTTTAGCCATGTTATAAAGCTCTGTCAAACCCCAAAGCTGTTTTTATCACGTTTATAAACGTATATAAACATAGATTCCCATGGAAATGATTTTTTTGTACTAAATTTATTTATCAAATGAACACAAACGACACAATTTATGCATCAAAAATTACAAATGGTTTACAATTCTTATTTAGGATCTATTTGAGCAATGCAGAAAGGAGGACAATCTGTTATGCAGATTTGTGATGATTAAACTAGGGAAAGAGAAGGAGGAACGTTGTTGGGATTGCTAATCTAATTTTTTTTTCATATGTTGGTTGTTTCCACATTATACACTAAACCTACTACGCAAACTGACTTCAACATTTTTTTTAAATCTTTCGTTATTTCCAAATATTTCTTAACTTTGGAATGGGAAACAGCATTTCTATGCATGTCTAATTTCGCTGCCGTATATTAACTAAATAATTTTAAAATGATTTGAAGATAACAGACCATACTTAAACGATGTACAATGAAAACTATCATTGAAGCCATTCAAAAATTAAGGACCGCAAAAGGTGAGAACAGCTGGGTGATTGGTCACTAATTACTGTACATACCCCAGCCACAGGCGATAACGCGTGTTTTACAGGTGTATAGATGACGACACGTTATTTACCGTATACATTATTATGTTCCCCAAACGAAGTTTGGGAACATATTGTTTTTACTCTGTTTCTTATTATTATTATTATTAAGGTCTTCCGTCTCCAACGGAAGACCTTCTTGTTTTCGTTCGGTTTCTTTTTCCCTATTATTATTATTATTATTATTATTATTATTCTTACCGATTTTGTGCACGCAAGTTCTCGGTAACGTCTGGACCGATTTTCATGAAACTTTCAGATCTGATAGGTATTGATCTGAACCTTATTGGAAATTTTTTTCGTTGATGACGTCACTTTCCATCTCGAGATATTTAGGATTTTCTGATTTTCAGAGGGTCGGCTTGTCCTGGAAACTCCTCCGAAACGACTTCAGATATTGAGTCAAGATTTTCAGTGAAGGTAGGGGAAGGTTTGTAGATTTGCAGGCAGGTGTCCAAATCTCTCTAGCGCAAAAGGCGCCGAAGCTCGGTAGGGCTCAAAACATGTCTCAGAAACATCTCACAAAATTTTACACCTTTTCTTTCATATCTTCATATATGTTAAGAATTTGTTAAAACATATAGAAGAAAAGTTGTGCAGAATGATACGACCTTTCATTTGATATCAAGAAAAAGGGGCTGACCCCTAAAATTAGGGGCTCAGAGGGGCCAACAGTCTTCAACCTATAACTCTTTAACGATCAATAATTTGTAATACATTACTGAAGCAAATATGCTTATCTTAACGATTTACGACAATATATGATAAGATTCTGATCATATATTACGTAATAAGGGGTCACAAGGGGCCAGAATGCTCAATCTTTGACGCTTTATATCTCGAAAAGGGGGAATATTTTGATAAGCAATACTGAACAAAAGATGGTCAGAATAATGTTCTAAACAATATGCACCCTTTCAATTTTTGTCAAACGGCCCCATTAAGGACTTGGAGGGGTGGCCCCTAAATATTTCCATTCAGCATATCTCCATAACGAAAAGAAATCTCTGAATAGTTGTTGAACAAAAAGTCTTCAAAATCACAAGACCTTTCATTTGATATCAAGAAAAAGGGGCTGACCCCTAAAATTAGGGGCTCAGAGGGGCCAACAGTCATCAACCTATAACTCTTTAACGATCAATAATTTGTAATACATTACTGAAGCAAATATGCTTATCTTAACGATTTACGACAATATATGATAAGATTCTGATCATATGTTACGTAATAAGGGGTCACAAGGGGCCAGAATGCTCAATCTTTGACGCTTTATATCTCGAAAAGGGGGAATATTTTGATAAGCAATACTGAACAAAAGATGGTCAGAATAATGTTCTAAACAATATGCATCCTTTCAATTTTTGTCAAACGGCCCCATTAAGGACTTGGAGGGGTGGCCCCTAAATATTTCCATTCAGCATATCTCCATAACGAAAAGAAATCTCAGAATAGTTGTTGAACAAAAAGTCTTCAAAATCACAAGATCTTTCATTTGATATCAAGAAAAAGGGGCTGACCCCTCAAATTAGGGGCTCAGAGGGGCCAAAAGTCTTCAACCTATAACTCTTTAACGATCAATAATTTGTAATACATTACTGAAGCAAAGATGCTTATCTTAACGATTTACGACAATATATGATAAGATTCTGATCATATGTTACGTAATAAGGGGTCACAAGGGGCCAGAATGCTCAATCTTTGACGCTTTATATCTCGAAAAGGGGGAATATTTTGATAAGCAATACTGAACAAAAGATGGTCAGAATAATGTTCTAAACAATATGCATCCTTTCAATTTTTGTCAAACGGCCCCATTAAGGACTTGGAGGGGTGGCCCCTAAATATTTCCATTCAGCATATCTCCATAACGAAAAGAAATCTCAGAATAGTTGTTGAACAAAAAGTCTTCAAAATCACAAGATCTTTCATTTGATATCAAGAAAAAGGGGCTGACCCCTCAAATTAGGGGCTCAGAGGGGCCAAAAGTCTTCAACCTATAACTCTTTAACGATCAATAATTTGTAATACATTACTGAAGCAAAGATGCTTATCTTAACGATTTACAACAATATATGATAAGATTCTGATCATATGTTACGTAATAAGGGGTCACAAGGGGCCAGAATGCTCAATCTTTGACGCTTTATATCTCGAAAAGGGGGAATATTTTGATAAGCAATACTGAACAAAAGATGGTCAGAATAATGTTCTAAACAATATGCACCCTTTCATTTTTTGTGAAACGGCCCCATTATGGACTTGGAGGGGTGGCCCCTAAATATTTCCATTCAGCATATCTCCACAACGAAAAGAAATCTCTGAATAGTTGTTGAACAAAAAGTCTTCAAAATCACAAGATCTTTCATTTGATATCAAGAAAAAGGGGCTGACCCCTAAAATTAGGGGCTCAGAGGGGCCAACAGTCATCAACCTATAACTCTTTAACGATCAATAATTTGTAATACATTACTGAAGCAAATATGCTTATCTTAACGATTTACGACAATATATGATAAGATTCTGATCATATGTTACGTAATAAGGGGTCACAAGGGGCCAGAATGCTCAATCTTTGACGCTTTATATCTCGAAAAGGGGGAATATTTTGATAAGCAATACTGAACAAAAGATGGTCAGAATAATGTTCTAAACAATATGCATCCTTTCAATTTTTGTCAAACGGCCCCATTAAGGACTTGGAGGGGTGGCCCCTAAATATTTCCATTCAGCATATCTCCATAACGAAAAGAAATCTCAGAATAGTTGTTGAACAAAAAGTCTTCAAAATCACAAGATCTTTCATTTGATATCAAGAAAAAGGGGCTGACCCCTCAAATTAGGGGCTCAGAGGGGCCAAAAGTCTTCAACCTATAACTCTTTAACGATCAATAATTTGTAATACATTACTGAAGCAAAGATGCTTATCTTAACGATTTACAACAATATATGATAAGATTCTGATCATATGTTACGTAATAAGGGGTCACAAGGGGCCAGAATGCTCAATCTTTGACGCTTTATATCTCGAAAAGGGGGAATATTTTGATAAGCAATACTGAACAAAAGATGGTCAGAATAATGTTCTAAACAATATGCACCCTTTCATTTTTTGTGAAACGGCCCCATTATGGACTTGGAGGGGTGGCCCCTAAATATTTCCATTCAGCATATCTCCACAACGAAAAGAAATCTCTGAATAGTTGTTGAACAAAAAGTCTTCAAAATCACAAGACCTTTCATTTGATATCAAGAAAAAGGGGCTGACCCCTAAAATTAGGGGCTCAGAGGGGCCAACAGTCATCAACCTATAACTCTTTAACGATCAATAATTTGTAATACATTACTGAAGCAAATATGCTTATCTTAACGATTTACGACAATATATGATAAGATTCTGATCATATGTTACGTAATAAGGGGTCACAAGGGGCCAGAATGCTCAATCTTTGACGCTTTATATCTCGAAAAGGGGGAATATTTTGATAAGCAATACTGAACAAAAGATGGTCAGAATAATGTTCTAAACAATATGCATCCTTTCAATTTTTGTCAAACGGCCCCATTAAGGACTTGGAGGGGTGGCCCCTAAATATTTCCATTCAGCATATCTCCATAACGAAAAGAAATCTCAGAATAGTTGTTGAACAAAAAGTCTTCAAAATCACAAGATCTTTCATTTGATATCAAGAAAAAGGGGCTGACCCCTCAAATTAGGGGCTCAGAGGGGCCAAAAGTCTTCAACCTATAACTCTTTAACGATCAATAATTTGTAATACATTACTGAAGCAAAGATGCTTATCTTAACGATTTACAACAATATATGATAAGATTCTGATCATATGTTACGTAATAAGGGGTCACAAGGGGCCAGAATGCTCAATCTTTGACGCTTTATATCTCGAAAAGGGGGAATATTTTGATAAGCAATACTGAACAAAAGATGGTCAGAATAATGTTCTAAACAATATGCACCCTTTCATTTTTTGTGAAACGGCCCCATTATGGACTTGGAGGGGTGGCCCCTAAATATTTCCATTCAGCATATCTCCACAACGAAAAGAAATCTCTGAATAGTTGTTGAACAAAAAGTCTTCAAAATCACAAGATCTTTCATTTGATATCAAGAAAAAGGGGCTGACCCCTCAAATTAGGGCTCAGAGGGGCCAAAAGTCTTCAACCTATAACTCTTTAACGATCAATAATTTGTAATACATTACTGAAGCAAAGATGCTTATCTTAACGATTTACAACAATATATGATAAGATTCTGATCATATGTTACGTAATAAGGGGTCACAAGGGGCCAGAATGCTCAATCTTTGACGCTTTATATCTCGAAAAGGGGGAATATTTTGAAAAGCAATACTGAACAAAATATGGCCAGAATAATGTTCTAAACAATATGCACCCTTTCAATTTCTGTCAAACGGCCCCATTAAGGACTTGGAGGGGTGGCCCCTAAATATTTCCATTCAGCATATCTCCACAATGAAAAGAAATCTCTGAATAGTTGTTGAACAAAACGTTTTCAAAATCACAAGACCTTTCAATTGATATCAAGAAAAAGGGGCTGCCCCTCAAACTAGGGGTTCAGAGGGGCCAAAAGCAATTCATCGATAGCTCTTTGATAATGTATATAAAATCAAAGGATTGAAATCTAATTAGGGAAGTCTATATATATTATTATCTTATAACAAAGATCATAGTCAAAATCATATCTCATCTTATCGAAAAATCGGACGGAAGACCTACTCGTTGCTCGCAACGAGATCTCATCTAGTTATTATTATTATTATTCTTTTTTTCTACTTTCTTCTCCGGTACTTTTTTGTCCGGGAGTGTTCTCATAGAACCTCTCATCCGATTGACATGAAACCTTTTTAGGGTTAATAGGCATGTTGTGTAGGTGTGCGGAACGAAGGTCATTTTGCGCGCACATGCATGCACGTGCGCGCGCGTGCATTGAGTGAAATGACTGATATACTTGATAAAGCCGTAACTTTTATATTTCTTGATGAATTGCTTTGAAACTCAAAATATAAAGATATATTAGTAGTCTAGACAAGTTGACATGGTCAAATTAGCATGAACTCACGCGCATGCACATGCGCTCTCCTCTGATTGGCTGATACAAAAATCTCAATAATTTCCTTGTTTTTTGACGAAATACCTTGAAATTTAAAATATAAGTATATATTATAAGGTGCTACAACATGTTACATAGGAAATCTCTTGAAACCACGCGCATGCAGGTGTGCTGCAATCTGATTGGCTGAGACTTTAAATGTCTATAACTCATTTGGTTTTCAACAAAACATGATTAAATTTACGACATGGATATGCTCATAGGGCTCCTACATTATGATACTATCAAAATTGAATGCAAGGCCATGCATGCGCGTATGCTGAATTCTGATTGGCTAATACTTAAAGGGTTACATCTCTCTTGTTTTTCAATGAAATTCTTTAATATTTAACACAAATGTATGTATTGTGAGACACTATAAGAAAATTAATGTGAAAAATGTAGAATCAAGCACATGCGCTGAAATTTGATTGGCTAATACCCATATGGCTATATCGGAGTAGTTTTCCAATGAAATACCCTTATAAATAAAGTGTCCATCTATACTACAAAAGTATTGTCTAATTTATTGAAGCTTGTAGGGAATGGGGCATCATAAGGAATTGGGGAGTCGTTTGGGGAACATCTGTAACGGTTCCCGTTACAATTAGCACTAGTTTAAGTTATTTTTTGATAAAGTTTTGATAAAAAATATACATCCGAGTAACCGAGTACCATTTTTAGTATTCGATACTCAGACGTTCGATCGAGTACCCGGTTAACCGGGTACTCATTGACATCCCTAATATTTATACATACAATTGAAACTTCGTTCTCTGGAACATCAATATCTTAAATACCATGGAAACAGTTTGCCAGTGCATTTTCTCTGAAAGTGCAAATGACTGCAGTCCTGGGGAGGGAGGTACTTCATGTAATTCGGAGTTAGATACCTTGTATTATTATAACAGAGTATACTGGGGAGTAAAAAATTTACTACAGAAGCAAGTGCCTGTGCTTTCATTGTACCAGTTGCAAAATATTCCTACAACTGATTTATATTTCTATCAAGTAAGTACATTTACTTAATAAAGCAGAAACCTATGACATCATGAGGGTGGAGATACATGTACATGTACCCTAAACCTTGCACAGGAATCATCCTCTGTTTGACGATTAAAACATTAAATCTATGTTTAAATACAGTCAAACCTCATTATCTCAAACTCAATGGGACCAAGAAAAAACTTGGAGATATCTGAGGGTTCGAAATATCCAGGGTAAAGGATTTCCCAATCACTTCGACATATCCACGGTATTCGAGATATCCATGTTTGAGATACCGAAGTTCAACTGTTGATTGTTTCTTGCCGACGCTGATATCTCTCCATTATGACTTACTGTGTTAGGTGGGTTGTTTTGGTTCCTGGATAAATTTGTACATAGTCAAAGTACTGATCCCATTCAAAGCATTTGATTAACTCCTTTGCTTCACTGGTGCAAGATGTTCTAGGATGAAGAGAAAAATATTATATTTAATTCACACTTTCTTAACTGAAGTATTCTTCATGACAATGAAATGTCTTTCAAAATCTTCCATTACATATATAAGTTAAACACCTGCCTTTTTGACAGCAGATCTGTCATTAATATATTGGTATGCTCTGTGAAAGACAACTATTCGTAAATACCTTGAGGCCACACCCACTTTAAATCCATCTCTCTTCAGCTTTTCTAAAATCCTAGGTACAGCTTCATAATAAGGCACATTATTTCCATGTCGATCTTTGACATCTGTTTTGCTGAAATACAAATGGTTTATTACAATTAATACTTTATTGATTATGGCTGAATATTTATTGCACAATCTTCAGTACAAATGTTTTTGTCCAAATTCTATAGTCAATCGACTGATCGATAGAGAGAAGGGGGTTAAGAGAGAGAGAGAGAATGTTTAGTGAAGATTCTTCAGATGATGGACTTCTAATTTTAAGAATTTTGAAAATTGAAATATACAGATTTTACAACCCTTAAATATATTAATTTTTCGCCACTTTTCGTCAAGAAAAAACATCTTACCTTATTTTCTTGAAAGGTGCATCATAGTGCGTGTCAATCCAAAAAGGCCACAACGTGTAATCTGCAAAAACAATGTATAAGAGTATCTGAAAAATAATTATTTACATCTAGCACAGACTACTTAGTAAAGTTTAATTGGTTGTTAAGCTTACCTAGGTCAAAAACAAGTAATTTTGGTTTTCTTTCCATCCTTAAAGAAAGTGAAAGTAGAAGTGAAAGTTGACTTTTAGACAAGTCTAGCAAAATGTTTTCGAGGTCGAGAGGAAAAACATTAAACCAAATACGGTTTAAAGATGCCATTGTCGCATAATTTACGTTCCGGGTAACTTAGCGTTCCGGCCGGAACGCTAAATACCTATAATATTGGTTCCGGGCTATAATAAACGTTCCGGCCCGCGTAAGTTTGGTTCCGGCCATAATAAACGTTCCGGGCATCCAAGCACCCTTTTAAAAACTTTATTTATAATTAATATTTACAAATAATTTGGATTTTTTTCTTTCTCTTAACGGGTTATACGATGCAGCAGGATTTACACGTATATCGATTTAGAAGAAGTCCCAATATACGGTCTTAATACATGTACCAATACTATAATCCATGGAATTATACGTAATTATGTTGTTTCTTTGTAAACAAAAGAACGCGAAGGTGTGAAACTTGTTTACATTGATATACCCCTTCATGTTGTTTTATGACTCCCTTCTATCGATACAATGTGCATTCATGCGAATCGCTGTATGTCACTTCCGCAATTTTAAATGAGTTTTAGGCAAAGGGCACCCCGATCAGCTGGTAATGCAAATACAAGTAGATGAATTATATTTACGATTAAAAAAATTACTGGATAATATTTTGATATCTTTATATATATTTTTTCAAACACCCATTGCGTTTTTGTAAAGCCAACTATATAATTAAATCACATTACGTGAATGAACATAATAGGAGATGTGTGGGCGACGGACTTGCAAAGGTGTGAATAAACATTAATTTCAGCGGAAAATTTATAAAGTATTTAATATGAAGAAAAGCAATTTCCTGTAATAATTCAGTAAAAAATTTTGTGGATTTTTTTTTTCTCGGATAAAATTTATTTTTTAAACAGTCAATGTAATGCCAGCAAAATATGACGAACTTTAAAATTTCTAAGATCCCGATTCTAGCAAAGGTTTCAAGGTCACGGCTAAAAACTATTGAATAAAACTCAGCTCATTTTTATTTATACAGGTAAGTGCACTTATCAACATTTGTAATAATAACTCTGAAGAGGAAATGTAATACAGATACAGATTTGTATTTTACAATCCTGAGAAATTAATAGTATTGTTGAGCCTGCGCAAAATCCTACCCCCCCCCCCCCCAACAGGGGGCAGAAAACTTAGCCCGACTGGCTAACGGAAGAGGCATAGATATAATTATAATTTACTTAACAATTTGTTGAATGTAAGTATGTATTTTGATTTCCGCTTAAATGTCACATTTTTCACTAAAACGTCCATTTTTCCCCGCTAAAATGTCGAACGCCGAGATTTATATACCATGTATTCAGAACTCAGTTTTCAAAAGGCATATCTGAATGATATATTATATAAATAAACGAAGTTTCAAAACAATAATTATTTGGGAAGAAGAAGAGATTATTCTGTAATTCTGTTGGAACATGTTTTCCGCTATAGAATGCAGTGGAAAATGGAAAATATCCCCCTCCCCCCGTGAAACTAAAATGCGGCGTGTAATTTTCGTTAGTTTAAAACTGCACAGCTCCATTTAAGTTAGACGAATTAGGCTTTCATCTTGTAATCTTGAAAATGAGACAGGACGTCATAATAAAATACTTAAGGAGAGTGGAATGTGTAGAATGTGTTCAAGTGAACATGCGTGGATCTAAAAATAATTCAGGGGGGGGGGGGGGATGTTGAAGATGAAATGAGAGTTGTTATAACGTACGAACGAAAACTTTAACTGGGAGGGGGCAGTGGTGAAGTAGAGGATGAATACCATTTTGTTTTAAATTGCCTGCATTTTGAAAAGCTTCTATAAAAATATGTCGAGAAGTATTACTGACAGAAGTCGTCTTTTTTTCAAATTTGTACAATTATTAAGTGCTCACAAGGTCCATGATCTCTGTAATTTTGGGACATATATCCATTATGCCTTTAAGTTGAGAAAAAGTTTTTTTCTTATATGATATGGTAATTCTCCATGATATAATTATATATTACGGTTGAGTCATCTATAAAAACTACCATACAATGCCATTGTGTATTATTTTGCATTGTTTGTTATTGTTGAAATGCGATAAGATATATGTCTAAAGCAATTGATAATAATATATTTTTAAGGCTAAAATTGAAAGATTATGTGTCAAAGACAGGGTTACATACTCACATTAAATACTGGAATTGTTTTAGATTAATAGTTAAAAAAAAGTTCAAACGCTTTAACGTAAACACATTAGGTAAAGTGAGTCGTAATAAAAAACAAAATGCGTTTGTGAAACACTGATGCTCCCGCACGGCAGTCTTTTGTGAAGGGTAAAGTTTCTAAAGTGCAAGTTAAACTCTAAGCTCAAGGTCAAGAGATCAAAAATGTTGTTTTCCAAAAAAGGACCCGTATCAATGAAAATACCTGTGAAATATGAAAGCCCAAGAACCAACCGTTCAAAAGTTATATATGGCCAAGGTTATAGTTTTTAAAAAGTGGGTCAAACTCAAAGGGTCAAAATCAATGATACCCAGGGAAAGGACCCGTCACATGAAATATACATGTGAAATATAAAAGCCTTAGCATCAAATGTCAAAAGTTATGGCCAAGGTTAAATTAAAGGTTTTTTTTTTAATAGTTCAAACTCCAAGGTCAAGGTCAAAATTGTTGGTATCCTAGAGAAAGTCTTGTCATACACAAATACACCTGTGAAATTAAAATTACATATACTCTGGCTATTGTAACCTGGAACGTCTACTATAACCGTTAACTTGGTCCCGGGTTATTTTATCTTTGTTATAAAGTGGGAGAAAATGAACAGGTAACAAATAACTTTGAAATTACTCTTATATAAATATTGCATATAGTTGAATGCACCCCAAGAAAACCATTGTCAATCGAGGCGCAGCCGAGGTTGACAATGGTTTTCGAAAGGTGAAAATTTTAAATGTTAAACGCAACTACATGCAATATTTATTATATTATACTGAATTTTTATACAAATACATGTACACATAACAGTGTTGCATGTTGCTACGCTGGAATGCGTGGCTTCATCATTCAGCGGGTAATCGTGTTTTTTTAACAAAATAATGTTTCTCGACGAATCAGTTTTAACTAATTTACATGAAAGTATAATATCAGAAATTGTAACCCGGAAAATTATTTGTGGTTCCGGGCTACTTCATCTTCGTAATAAAGTGGAAAAGAAACAACCTAGTAGCAAAGATATTTGAAAATACTCTCAGCACTTCCAACCCAGAAAGTTAATTATGACCATAAATTGGTTCCGGGCTACTTAACCTTCGTAATAAAGTGGGGAAGAAACAACCCAGTAACAAAGATATTTGAAAATACTCTCAGCAATTCTAACCCAGAACGTTAATTATGACCATAATTTTAGTTCCGGGCTACTTTATCTTCGTAATAAAGTGGAAAAGAAACAACCTAGTAACAAAGATATTTGAAAATACTCTCAGCAATTCTAACCCGGAACGTTAATTATGACCATAATTTTAGTTCCGGGCTACTTTATCTTCGTAATAAAGTGGAAAAGAAACAACCTAGTAACAAAGATATTTGAAAATACTCTCAGCAATTCTTACCCGGAACGTTAATTATGACCATAATTTTAGTTCCGGGCTACTTTATCTTCGTAATAAAGTGGAAAAAAAACAACCTAGTAACAAAGATATTTGAAAATACTCTCAGCAATTGTTACCCGGAACGTTAATTATGACCATAATTTTAGTTCCGGGCTACTTTATCTTCGTAATAAAGTGGAAAAGGAACGACCTAGTAACAAAGATATTTGAAAATGCTCTCAGCAATTCCAACCCGGAACGTTAATCATGACCATAATTGAAGTTCCGGGCTACTTTTTCTTTGTAACAAAGTGAAAAATAAACAACCTTGTAACAGAAATATTTGAAAATACTCTCAGCAATTCTAACCCGGAACGTTAATTATGACCATAATTTTAGTTCCGGGCTACTTTATCTTCGTAATAAAGTGGAAAAGAAACAACCTAGTAACAAAGATATTTGAAAATACTCTCAGCAATTCTAACCCGGAACGTTAATTATGACCATAATTTTAGTTCCGGGCTACTTTATCTTTGTAATAAAGTGGAAAAGAAACAACCTAGTAACAAAAATATTTGAAAATACATAGCAATTGTAACCCGGAACGTTAATTATGACCATAATTTTAGTTCCGGGCTACTTTATCTTCGTAATAAAGTGGAAAAGAAACAACCTAGTAACAAAGATATTTGAAAATACTCTCAGCAATTGTAACCCGGAACGTTAATTATGATCATAATTTTAGTTCCGGGCTACTTTATCTTCGTAATAAAGTGGAAAAGAAACAACCTAGTAACAAAGATATTTGAAAATACTCTCAGCAATTGTAACCCGGAACGTTAATTATGACCATAATTTTAGTTCCGGGCTACTTTATCTTCCTAGTAAAGTGGAAAAGAAACAACCTAGTAACAAAGATATTTGAAAATACATAGCAATTGTAACCCGGAACGTTAATTATGACCATAACTTTAGTCCCGGGCTACTTTATTTTTCTAATAAAGTGAAAAAGAAACAACCTAGTAACAAATATGATTGAAAATATATAGCAATTGTAACCCGGAACGTTAATTATGACCATAATTTTAGTTCCGGGCTACTTTATCTTTGTAATAAAGTTGAAAAGAAACAACCTTGTAACAAAAATATTTGAAAATACATAGCAATTGTAACCCGGAACGTTAATTATGACCATAATTTTAGTTCCGGGCTACTTTATCTTCGTAATAAAGTGGAAAAGAAACAACCTAATAACAAAGATATTTGAAAATACTCTCAGCACTTCCAACCCAGAAAGTTAATTATGGCCATAATTTTGGTTCCGGGCTACTTTTTCTTTGTAATAAAGTGGAAAAGAAACAACCTAGTACATGTAACAAATATGTTTGAAAATACTCTCCGCAATTGTAACCCGGAA